GACAAAAAGAGAGGAGAGGAAAGAGAGGGAGAGACCAAGAGAGAGACGGAAAGGGAGACAGAGAGAGAAAGAGGGAAGAGGAGGGAGAGTAGAGACAGAGAGACAAAGACAGAGAAAAAGAGACCCAGAGGTGGTGAGAGAGGGAGAGACAAAGAAAGATAAACGGGAGGGAGGCAGAGACAGAGAAACACACACACAAAGAAAATGAGAGAGAGGAGTGAGAGAGAAAGAAAGAGACAGTGAGAGACACAGAGAGATAGAAAGAGAGAGAGTGAGGGTGAGACAAACAGACAGAGACAGAAAGAGACAGAGAGGTGGAAAGAAGAGAGAGAGAAAGAGGAGAGGGTAAGAGAGAGAGAGAGAGAGATGAGGTGAGGGTGTCACCTGGAATTGTTGATTGCTGGTTGCCTATAGTTTTGCCAACAGCCCTTCCCTGCATCTCTCAGGGCCCATGTGCTGGGGCTAGTGTGGACATCTCAGCCCTATGGGATGCAGGTATGCATGTGTTAATGAGGCAGAGTTGGCAAGGTGTGATTTAGAAGAGGTACGCACAGGGTATGACAGACCTCTCATCTGTCTTCAGCAGGTCCTGGAAAGGGGTGGCCCCCCTTCCCAGCTTAGTTTATCTTCTTGCTTCCTCTCAACCTGGAGCTGGCCAGTGGAGGAGCTGCCATCTTCATCTCCGGTCTTTGAGGAGTGGATGGAGTGAGCCAGGACCCCCAAGTTCAGCCAAGAAGGGCAAGAGTCACAATTGGGGTATGTAGCAGCAGGAGAGTCATGTGAAGCTATGGAATGAGCTTTCTGACTTTCAGGACACCCTAGGATTTGGTGGGGGTTGGGGCACTCCTCTATGGGCTATTCAGAGAATAGAAAGTCAGCACTCAGTTTGGGGAGTTTGAGGGAGGGATAGTGGTTGGAAAGTCTAGGAAAGGGGGATGGGAGCAGGCTATAAAGGAAGAGGAGAAAGCAAGGGAGAAGGATAGAGACTCAGGCAAAGATAAAAGAGGAATGAAGAATGAGGACATTGAATTGTGTGAGGTCACCTGGCCAGTTAGTGATAGTGTTACAGGGACAGCTAGGTGGTACAGTGGATAGAGTGCCAGTCCTGAAGTCAGAAAGACTTGGGTTTAAATCCAGCCTCAGGCACTTACTGGTTGTGTGATTCTGTGCAAGTCACTTAACTGCTGTCTACTTCAGTTTCCTCACCTGTGAAATGGGGATAATAATAGCATCTACTTCACAGGGTTATTATAAAGATCAAATAAAATCCTCAAATGAGGTAATATTTGTAAAGTGCTTAGCACAACGGCTGGCACATAGTAGGTGATTAATAAAAGCTTATTCTCTTTCTTCTCCAACCCTGATGTTCCAAGTTTGTAAAGGTTTTCTCTCCCATCAGTGAGGAGGGAGCAGCACCCAACCGTGTGACTTTATAAAGCTCCTTACCCAAGTTGAATAGAGATAGAGCTTTAAAAAAAAAAAAAAAATTCGTTGAGAGCAAAAAGTGACCTGAGCTCATGCTCCAATCCTTTCATTTTGCAAATGAGGAAACTGAGACCCAGAAGAAAGCAACGACAGAAAGCACCTCGAATTTGGAGCCGCAGGACCTGAGTTTGAATATTGGCTCCGCCACATACAACTTGTGTGACTATAGGCAAGACCTCTCTGGGACTCAGTCTCCTCATCTGTAAAAGGAGAGGGTTGGACTTGATGACCTGTAAGGTCCTTTCCACCTTTAAGTCTATATGCCCAAGGTTTGACTTGCCCAGGGTCCCATCCATATATGGTATCTAGCAAGTATTAGAGTTAGTATTTGAATCTTACGTCTAGGTCTTACAATCCCATGCTGCCTGCTAGGGTCCTCCAGGCCCCACGACAGGGATCAGGGGCCGATAGGCAGGTCAGACCCACAGAATGTCGAGTAAAAGAAAATGAATCTTTCACATGACAACCCTTTAGGTGTTCAAAGGAGGCTCTATTGCTGGGGTTCCCAACCTGGGGAAGACATACATATATATATATATACTCTCAGGAGTATGAAAACCTTGTCAGAAAATATTTGGTAAATAATTTTATTATACTACTGAAATGAATTAATTTCTTTATTTTATTCTTATGTTCATATACATGACATTGTAAGATGTATTCTCTTTCATATTGAATAGGGGGTATGGGAAACTTTACTGAAAGCCAAGAGAGTCAGGGACAAAAAGTTTGGAAATCCTCTGTTCTGTTGTGTCTCCCTTGAGCCTTTTTTTCTCCAGGCTAAACAGGCTGGTTCCTACAGCCGATCCTTGTATGGTATTATTTTTTCCAGGCTGCTCAACACTTTGGTTATTCCCCTCTAGATATGTTCCATTTTATCGCTAATTGACCACCCCTTCTGAAGGTAGGGGGTTGGATATGTTGACCTTTCCAATTCTCTTCCAGCTCTGTCTGGGAGGCAACCCTTTGTGGTGGAAGGAGCACTGGACCAGGAGTCAGGGGAATAAGGTTCTAACCCAACTCTGCCACTGACTTGCTTTTTGACCCTCAAAGTTATTTCTCCTCTCTGAAATTCTCCTCAGTTTCTCTATCTGTAAAATGAAAGTGGAATGAAATTATATGGGGGAGAGGTGGGCAAGAATGATTTCTCTCTTATGATGTCTCTTCTGTTCCTCCCTTCCCCCTAGGTGCCCATTCCCTGAATTCTAAGACCTAAATGATTTTGATCAATCAATCAATAAGCATTTATTAAGTGCCTATGATATGCCAGGCACTAAATATGCTAGGTACAAGGGATAAAAATACAAGCAAGCAAGGCCACCCCTGCGATTAAGATGCTAACGTTCTAATCAGGGAGACAAGATGCAAATATACAGTCTGTCCCAAGAGCCTTAGGGCAGTTTTTAGCTTTTAAAGCTTAAACTTTAGTAGCTATTAAAGCTTAAAACTGCACAAAGACTTTTGGGACACCCCGTAAAAGTGTTTATAAAACGTATACAAACCAGACACAGAGTACCTTGGTGGGCAAGGGGTGGGGAGGAGAAGCGCTAGCAGCTGGGGATGGGGGCGGGGAGCCCAGGAAAGGCTCTCAGGCAAAAGGCAGCCCTTGAATTCCCTCTGGAAGGCAGAGCTGAAAAGAGGGGCATTCTATAATATGGGTAATGTCTGGGGCAAAGACATAGAGATAGAGGATGTGTGTGAGCCATAGCAAGAAGGTTGAGTGTGGCTGGAACCTAAATTATATTAAGAGAGTCATGTGTAATAAGGCTAGAAAGGCAAGATAGGCCCAGGCTGTGAAGAGCCACTAGCTAACTAGCTTCCTACCTACAGATCTAATAAGTACCTGAGGTTGGATTTGAACTCAAGTCTTCCTGACTCTAGGTTCTGCACTCTATCTCTTATGAGACACTTAGCTGTCTCATAATGAAATAGGCAGAGCAGGAACTATTATCCCCATTTCCCAGAGTAGGAAGCTAAAGCCCAGAGAGGTCAAGTGACCCATTCAATGTCACACAAACTGTCATGGGCAGAGCTGGGACCAGAACCAGTCTTCCTGAACTCTGGCCAAAATCGAACCCCTCAGTCTGATTGCTGTTCCATGGTAGAAACTCAATGGCCAATTGTTGATTTGTGGAGGGATGGGAGAGGCTAAGTGACGTGCTTCAGGTTACCCAGCAAAATCCAATCATGGAACCCAGAAGAACCAATCGATCAGCAAATATGTATTAAGCAGCTACTAATCATAACAGCTAGCATTTATAAAATGCTTACTATGTGCCTGGTGCTGTGCTAAGTGCTTTACAAATATTGTCTCGTTTGATCCTCACTACAAACCTGAAGGGTTGTTGTTGTTAAGTTGTTTTCAGTCATGTCTGACTCTTCATGACCCCATTTGGGGTTTTCTTGGCAAAGATACTGGACTGGTTTGCCATTTCCTTCTCCAGCTCATTTTACAGATGAATGGGGCAGAGACAAGATGACTCCAAAATGGAGTAAAAGCAGTGACTTGCTTGAGCTCTCCCCCAAACCCCTTCATTTTACAGATGAGGAAACCGAGGCAAATCCGGTAAAGTGACTTGCCCAGGGTCAAACAGCTAGTAAATACCCATGGAAAGATTTGAACTCAGAGAGATGAGTCTTCCTGACTCCAGGCCTGGCACTCTAGCCACCATGCCACCTAGCTCCCTAAGAGGTAGGTGCTGCTATTATCCCCATTTTACAGATGAAGAAAGTGAGGCAAGAAGCAGTTAAGTGACCTGCCCAAGGTCACATATTAAGGAGCTGAGATAAAATTCTAACTCGGGTCTTCCTGACTCTAAGTCTAGCATTCTATTCACCATACGACCTGGCTGCCCTCAATGTGCCTAGAACTATTAATAAAGTTAATCTGGGCCAGGAGTGAAGAACCTGCAGCCTTGTGGCCCTCTAGGTCCTCAAGTGAGGCCCTTTGACTGAATCCAAACAAGTTTGTGGCCTTGAGGCCAAAGGGTCCCCACCCCTGAATTCTAGTCCAATCTCAGGGAACTGAGTGGCTGTATGAAATTTCAGGAGGGGGGTATCCAGTTTTGGGGAGACCCTTCGGGTTAAGGATGGGCCTCAAGGGATAGTGTGGAGGAATGGAAGGACCTGGAAGCCAGGAGAGCTGGGTAATAGTCTCAGTTTTGACAAAAACTAGTTCTGTGTTCTTAGATAAATCATTTCTCTCCATTTCTTCATCTATAAAATGGGGAAATTAGACTAGGAGGTCTTTCAATCTCCTTCAAGCTCTAAATTCTATGATCCTCTGAATTTCTGCTTGTTAGGCTTTAGGACAATCTCCTTACCTGTCGTCTTGTGATTGAACCAGAAGGAGAAGGATGGAGTCTACTCCAAGACTCAATGCTACCACGAATGATAACCACGACAGCCTATCTGAGTCTCGACTTCGCCCCCTCTTTGCCACTCTCTGTGGCCTCATCCTACTGGTTGGGTTGCTGGCCAATGGGCTGATGCTGATTATCTTGGGCAGGGGCACTGGCTTGAGGCACCAGGCCCCTTGCCCGCTCCTGGCTCTGACCAATAGCCTCATGGTGAACATCACTCTATCAGATCTCGTCTTCCTGGTTTACGTGGTCCCCGTTTTGCTGCTGACCTTCCTCCAGGAGGACTGGTGGCTGGGCTCCTCCATCTGTACCACCAGCCAGAGCTTCAACATGGGCACCATGTTTTGCACCTTCTACAGCATGGTGGCCACTGCGCTCCTACGCCATGCCGCTGTGGCCTTCCCCACCATAGCCTTCCCAGCTGGCAGAGGGGCTCAGCTATTGCTCTGCTTGACCATGTGGATCCTGGGTTTCTCCGTGTCTCTGCCCAACTGGCTGTACCAGAAAGTGGTGGAAGAGGGCAAGGAAGATGGGGAGGAGGTGGCTGGGGGACCAGGATCCAAGCTCATCCATTCGTGCCTGATGCTCCTGGGTCCCACCCAGATCTCCTGCTATTTCACCCTCCTCGGGGCTCTGGCCTTCCTGCCCTTCGCCCTGATGCTGGTGCTCAGTTTCACTCACCTGGGCTGGCTCTTGTGGAGTGGGGAGTGGACCCAGGTCCCACTGGACATCCGACAGCACCGAGAATCCACAGGCCTCATCCTAGTGGTATTAGTTGTTTTCGTAGTCATGTGGGGGCCCTGTTCTGTGCTGGGTTACGTGGCTGCCTCAGGAGACCTGCCTGATACCTTCACCATCTTTGTGGCTACCAGCCTCTGCACCATTCTAGCCTATTCCAACTGTGCCGTCAGCCCGATTCTCTGTTTCTGCCTGTCAAGACAGTTCCGGGCAGGGCTCAAGGACCTCTTCTGCTGCTCAACCCTGGAAACGGTAGTCTTAAGACATGGTGGGTTAGTGCAGGCTGTCTAGGGAGGTGAAAGTGGGAGGGTGGGAGCCCCAGGGGGTCTATGGGGAACTCCTGCCTGAGGGGAGGGGGCAAGATGGAGAGCTGAGATGTTTAGAATCATAAACTCATAGAAACCCAAGAATACAAGTCATGCCCCAATTGATAAATAGTCAAAGGATATGAACAGGTAGTTTTCCAATGAAGAAATCAAAACAATTTGTAGTCATATGAAAAAATGTTCTAAATCATTATTAATTAGAGAAATGCAGATTAAAATAGCTTCTAGATATCATTTTACACCTATCAAATTGGCTAAAATGATTGAAGGGGAAAGTGACAAATGTTGGAGGGGATGTGGAAACATCAGGCACTAATTCATTGTTGGTGGAACTGTGAACTGATCCAACCATTTTGGAGAGCAATCTGGAATTTTGCCCAAAGAGTTATTAAACTGCCTTTACCCTTTGACTAGCAATACCACTACTAGCTCTAGTTTCAAAGACAATTAGGGAAAAAGGAAAAGAAGCTATATGTTCTAAAAATGTTTATAGCAGTTCTCTTTGTGGTGGCAAAGAACTGGAAAATGCAGAGATGCCCATCAATTGGGGAATGGCTGAACAAGTTGTGGTATATGACTGTGATGGAATACAAGAAATGATGCTACAAGAAATGATGAGCTCAATGATCTCAGAAAAACACAGAAAGACTTTCATGAAATAATGAAGAGTGAAATGAGCAGAACCAAGAGAACATTGTATACAGCAACAGCAATGTTGTTTTAAAAACGACTTTGACTATCATAAGTAGCCAAAGTAACTATAAAGGGCACATGAAGAAAGATGCTATCTGCATCCAGAGAAAGAGCTGATAAATAGAAATATGTATGGACTAATTTTAGATACATATATACATATATATATATATGTATACCTATTTGCGTCTAAAGGTAGCCATCTCTGGGATGGAGAGGGGGGCAGAGAGTAAAAAGGAGGGGAAAAAGGAAATTTACATGATAACTTTGTTGTGTATTTAAAAGGAATAGCAAATTGTACGTAGTGGATTTGCGGTTTCATGCAATCATCTTTTTTGTTGTATTATGTTATGGAAATGCTTGTTTTATTCCATAAATTAAAAAAAATAAAATTTAAAAATATACTCATAGGAACCACAGAATGTTCTAACATTGAGAATTGGAAGGGGCCTTTGGGGTCATGATATCATGAATAGGGCACTGGACTTGGAGTTAGGACACTTATGGTCGTCTAATCCCAGCCCTTTAATTTACAGATCAGGCAGCTGAGGCCAGGAAAAGGGGAAATGACTTGTTCAATGGCACATGGCAAGTTAGTAGTGGAGAAAGACAGAATCTAGGTATCCTGAGTCCGAGGCCAGGGATCTTTCTTTTCTATCTTGCTTTTTCTTATATGGTAGGTACCCAAATGGAGGAAATAGAGTAGATGAGGGATCTGTGGGAGAGACAACTGACGGGTAAGCGTAAGGCTGAGGACTAAAGGACGTTTGAGAAGAAGCAGCCAGAAGGGGTTAGGTCCAGGGTTGGGTCCAGGGAGACCAGGTAATAGGCTATAGGAGTAAGCAGGGTATCTATGGGGATGAAGGGAAGGAAGAATGAGAGGCTAAGGAAAATTGTCTGATAGAAGCAAAAGAGCAGGGCCTGATGGTACCCAGAAGCAGGAAAAAAGGTTGCATGCAGCATGTTTCTTTTCCCTCCATGGCCTAGTCTCATAGGGCTCCTGATATTTTCTCCTCTCCTCCATTTCTTTGGTAGTTAACTTGACCTCTGATCTCATTGTTGTACAAGACTTCCAGTGTGAAAACTCCCTCCATCAATACAGATAGCACCTACCCTGCAATTTATATAATTTTAGAGGCTTGCCTGGAGCACCGAGTGACTTTTCACCAAGTGACTTGCTCAGGGTCACACCACCAGTGTGTGTCAGAAGCAGGACTCAACCTAGGTATTCTTAACTCTTTTGCCAGCTCTCTGTCTCCTCCCCCCAATAAAGGAACAAAAATAAAGTCAACAATTAAACAGCTTGTCTTGACCGATTAATCTCAGATATTCTCTTTTCCTTCTCTGCTCTCCCTTCTCTTAGCTTGGGGATTGTGGGGTGGAGACGAAGTAGGTAAGGGGTGCCAGAGTCAAGGAGAGATCTGTAAATGATGCCTGGGACCACAGGACGCTGTCCCAGTTCATTATGGGATATAAAGTCTGTAAAGCTCAGCTAAGGAGTTTGGCCTTTATCCATGGGTCCAGGTTTCTGAGGTCTCTAAGCAAGAAAGATTCTTTTTTTAAAAAAATACTTTTTGGTGGTTCTTCCTATTGGTTCTAATTTTTACTTCCAACATCACTAATGTGAAAATATGTTTAATAGGAATGTACATGTATAGCCTATATCAGATTGTGCGCCATCTTGGGGAGAGTGGTGGGGAGGAAGGGGGAGAAAATTTTAAACTCAAAAGCATATGGAAGTGCTTGTTGATAAATCAAAATAAATTAACAAAAAATTAAAAAATATTTTTATTTTGTTAAATATTTCCCAGCTACATGTAAAAACTTTAACATTTGTTTTTTAAAATCTTGAGTTCCAAATTTTCTCCCTCCTGCCCTTACCCTACCTTTGAAATGGCAAGCAATATGATATTTGTGAAGCTGTGCAAGACATATTCCCATATTACCCATATTGCAAAATAAAACACACATACAACCAAGAAAGATAGAGTAAAAAAAAAATATGCTTCAATCTGCACTCAGAGTTCATCAGTTCTGTCTCTGGAAGTGGATAGCATTTTTCATCACGAATCCTTCAAAATTGTCTTGGATCATTGTATTGATTAGAGTAACCAGGCCTTTCTCAGGTGATCATCTCTACAATATTGTTGTTACTATATACAATGTTCTCCTGGCTCTGTTCACTTCACTTTGCATCAGTTCATATAAGTAGATAAAAAAAGATGAAACTATAGGTGGATCTTGATTTAAAGAATTCTGTTCCATTCCAAACTATTATGCTGCCCTCCAATCCATTTCTTCCTATTCTCTCCTCATCTGTTTTCATTCTCTTAAAGAAAGCCTTGAATGCAGGCTATGGGTTCTAGACTTTAACTGGTGGATCACAGAAAACCATCGAAGAGTTTTGAACAGAGGCAGGCACGATCAGACTGGTGCAATGTGGAGATTAATCTGGTTATGCCACGGCTTCCCAGAGAGATGCTAAAGGCATAGGTTATTGCAATGGTTGAGCAAGAGGGAATGGGGGTCTGGGTGGGGTAACAGTGGGAGTGGAGAGGAGGAAGCAGCACAGGGGAGCCAACTGTTCACACACAGGATTCCCATTCTCCCATGTTATCAGGTCTCCATTTCTGATTTCTGTCTGATTGGCAGGGACTCCCCAGAAGTCTCACCGAAGGTGTCCCTCCCTCTTCCTCTGCCCCCTCATGTTAGGGATGTATAAACAAAGGCTTTAGGGCAAGGGACTTGGTGGGAGGAGTTGTTCTTTACCAGAATTCTGTGGGAAAAATCCCATTGTAATGTCAGTGAGTATAGCCCGTCCTGGCTTGCTTATATGGGCCAGTCTCCCTGGCTTGTTCTACCTGGGGTTAGAGCACTGGTGGTTTCTAGAATTGAAGGATGGAGGACTCAAATCTTCACTCAACCACTTCCTGTCTAGGTGACATTGGACAATCGATGTGCATTTATTAAGAACCTGCTCCAGATCTGACCTTTGACAGTTACTGCCTTTGTGACCGGGGACAACTAGATGGCTCAATAGATAGAGTGCTGGGCCTGGAGTCAAATATGGCTTCAAACACTTCCTAGCTGTGTGACCCTGGGCAAGTCATTTACCCCTGTTTGCCTCAGTTTCCTCATCTGTAAAATGAACTGGAGAAGGAAAGGGCAAACCACTCCAATATCTTTGCCAAGCATACTCCCAAAAATGAGACTGGAACAATTGAACAACACCTGTGTGACCTTGGGTAAGTCACCTTAGCCTCTTGGGCCCCAGGTTCCTCTTCTGTAAAATGAAGGAGTTAGATAACATAGCCTCTTACAATTCTTCCAGTTGAATCTATCATCCCTGATGAGAGATATAACATAGAGGACAGAAAGCTGGCCTTAGAGGGAAGCCCTGGGTTCAAGTCTTGCCTTTAACACATCTTGGATGTGTGACCCTCTGCAAGTCACTGAATTTCTCAGTTCCTTAGGCAGCTGTCTTGGACTATCAGTTGCAAATCTGCTTTGGTACAGGGAGTTTCTTCACCATAAGTTTCCTACACCAATAAAATCAAAGATCTGAACACACACACACACACACACACACACACACAGACACACACACACACATACACACACACACGATAAAAGGAAGCCCTGAGCTCAAGGTAAGGTTCCCTTGGATTGGTTCTAGAAAGCCCCGGTTCTCCCCCAAGACAATCTTTCATACCCCACAAGAGTCAATTTGCTCCCATCTCAACCAAGCTATTTAGATTAGCTGAGTTGAGTCAGAGACTGGATTTGAACTTAGGGCTCCCTGACTCCAAGTCCAAAGCTCTGTTCACTGAATCACCAGCTACTTCTAGTTCTAGTTTCAAGTCTCTGTTCAAGTGCCACCTTCTTCAAAAAGCTGTTCTGTTTCCCCCATTTCTTGGGGCCCTCTGCTCATCCTCCAATCACTCAGCATTCACTCATTCATTCATTCATCTATTTATATCCCATGTTTATTTACCTGTGGACAGGTGGATCTCCAGGAGAATGTCAGTTTCTTGAGGGCAGGGTCTGTCACTTTTGAATTTGAATCCCTAGCTAGATGCCATGTAGAAGGCACTTAGTAAATATTCGTTGATTGATCAGCTAGGATGGTGTTTGAATCACACACACATACACACAACATACACACACACACACCAGTACCAGACACTTTCTGCTTGGTGAACCAGTGACAAGTCTTCCAGTTGTCCTTTCCATGTCATGGGGGGCAGCAGGGGAGGAGTGTAGGCCCTGACTCTTCTTTCCCTAATCCTCAGTCTGGCTCTCCCCTTCTTCCCCTTTCTCCTCTGCTTCTTCTCTCTTTGGGTCTCCTCTCTGGCCTTTCTGCTCAGGTCCTTAGAGAGATCATCTAATCCAATCATTTCATTTTACAGATGAGGAAACTGAGCCCCCCGTGTGGCTCAGCCCGAGGTCACGTTCATAGTGAATAGAAGACTTGGAGTTAGAATTGAGGCTCTCAAGCTAATTCTTATTCCCTTGCTCTATCCCACTACTTATCACCCTTCAGTTCTCCCTCCTGTCTTCAAGGAACCCCAATTTTTCAAGAGGCTCTCCTCAATTCAGAGAAGGAAAAGGGAGGGACTGCTGTCCTTGGTCCAGGAAAGCCTCCCTGTGTCCTTTCATCAGGGCACATGCTCAGAGCTGTTTCTTCAGCTTCGGGGATGGATGAGTCTGCCCAGAACCAGTCACATTCCCAAGTGGGGCCTCCTGTGACCTGTTGGACACATTTGTGAGACAGCTGGCTGGGGGGTAGGGATGTTTGCTGCCAGTGGCCTGGGAATGGAGCCAACCTAACTGGCCCCCCGCAGGAGGTGGAGCCCTGCCTTCATTAGCACTGTGCTCTAACCACTGAACCCACCAGCCCTGCCAACATGCAGCATTTCCCTCCTCCTTTTCTTTGATTCCTGTCATGGTTCAGATACTCTTCGACCTAATTTAATCTGTAAAATGGGGATTTTGTACAAATCTCATTTAATCTTTAAAATGTGGATAATGAGAAGGCAGTGGACCACGCAGAGAGAGAGCTTTGGCAAGATGGGGAGACAGGAGACCCAGGTGCCAGTGCCCGCTTTGTGGCTGACTTTATCCTGAGGCCTTACATAGGTTATAGGATTTACAGCTGGATGGGATGCTAATGACCAACCCATAGGAATCAATTTCCTTGTTTTATAGATGAGGAAACTGAGGGCCATGAGGGTGGTGGGGAAGGAAGAGAATTTCCAAAGGTCACACTGGTAGTCAGTAGCAGAGCCAGGATTAGAACCCAGGGCTTCTGACTCCAAATCAGTTGCTTTTTTGCACTACAATGAATCAATTTATAAGCCCACAAAATTGGAAAGGGGCTTTTTTTTTTTTTGGGTGAGGCAACGGGGTTAAGTGACTTGCCTAGGGTCACACAGCTAGTAAGTATCATGTGTCTGAGGCTGGATTTGAACTCAGGTCCTCCTGACTCCAGGGCCAGTGCTGTATCCACTGCACCACCTAGCTGCCCTGAAAGTGGCTTTTGAAGTCATCTGAATCAACCTCTCCAGGCCATAGCTAATCACAACAACAATAATGATAATAATGAGAATGAGAATAATAATAATAATAGCTAGCATTTATATAGTGCTAATTATATGCCAGGCACCGTGCTAAGTGCTGTACAAATATTATTTCATTTGATCCCCATAACGCTGAGAGGCAGGTACTAGTATTATCCTTATTTTACAGTTGAGGAAACTGAGGCAACTAGAGGTTTAGCAACTTGCCCTAGGTCACAAAGATAGTGTCTGAGGCTGGATTTGAATTACTTTAGAAGGCTGCTGATGAAGCACGCTACCCACCTCCTGCTAGAAGTGACTGATGGATTCACAGAATGAGAGACACATTTTTCTGAGATGGCCAATATAGAAATTTGATTTGCTTGACTATGCTTGTTACAAGGGTTTTCTTTTTCTTTTTATTTTAAGAGGAGAGTAGATGAGGAGAGAAATTATGTTCATCAAAAAATTTATTTAATAAAAAAAACAGGCTATTATTAAGTACCTGATATATACCAGGCACTCTACTAGCTTGTGGGGATACAAAGATAAAATGAATGATCCTTATGCTCAAGGAGTTCCTTTCAATAGGAAGAAACAACAGGTTCATGTAGACATAAATACAAATATATATGAAGTAAATATAAGGTAGGTTGGTAGGAAGTAGGCGCCAGCAGCTGGAGGGAAGGCCTCCTATATAGGAGGTAGCACTTGAGTTTTGAAGGAAGCTAGGAATTAAAAGGGGACAGGTAGGTGCACAGAGTGCCAGGCCTGGAGTCAGGAAGACTCATCTTCCTGACTTCAAAACCGGCCTCAGGAACTTACTGGCTGTGTGACCCTGGGCAAGTCACTTCACCCTATTTACCTCAGTTTTCTCATCTATAAAATGGGCTGGAGAAGGAAATGGCAAACCACTGCAGTGTCTTTGCCAAGAAAACCCACAAAGGCGTTATGAAGAATCAGACATGAGTGAAACAACTGAACAACAACAACAAAGGATTTTAAGAGACCAACTTGAGGAGGAAAGCATGAGGCAAAGGCCTGGAGATAGGGGAATTAGTATCTGGCATGAAGAACAACAAATAGGTCAGTTTGGCTGAAATGTAGAATTCATAAAGGAGAGGAATATGCAATGTCTCGAAATGAAGGCCAGACTCAGATGGGGAAGGCCTTTACATGCCAAATAGAGATGTTGGTATTTTGTCTCAGAGGTAATAGGGAGTCACTGAAGGTTCTTAAGTAGGAGGGGTGACACGGTTACGATGTCCAGCTCTGTAAAAAATGAGAGGGTTGGTCTACGGCAAAGGCCCCAGTGGGGCCTGCAGCATTCCTGAGTGCCGCCTGAACCAATTTAAAATGTCACTGGGAAATAATTAACAAAATGAGTAAAAACACGCAAGAAGAAGAGAGATAATGTTAGTACGTGGTTTTCTGATTCAATAAAAGCATGGCAGCTTGCAGGGATCTGGCTTAGCGGCCCTTTTTCTATTTGAGCTTGACATCACCGGTCCAGGTGACCTCTAAGGTCCCTCCCAGCTCTGAAACGTTCAATGGCTCTGACCCTGTGGCTCTGCCCATGTCGCTGTGATGGGTTTACTCCTCCCCTTCAGTCCTACCACCTTGCTAGGACTTCATCCAGGTTGGCTACAGGCCCCAGAGAGATTCCCACAGAACAGAAGAAAAGTGAGGACCTCTGCTTTTAGTAAAAGGACCCAATTTATTCCAGTTTAAGGCAGTGTTAGTACATAGCAGCTCCCACCAAAGACTCCAGCGAGGACAACACGGGTTAGAAATACAACCATCATGCACAGAACAAAGAGGAACAGAGCTGGACGGGCGCCCAGTGGGCAGCCCCAGGCAGGGAGCCCTGGGCTTTGGGCACAGATGTATCACTTGGGAGCTGGGCAGACAAGGGCGTGTCTCGAAAGGGGAGTTGAGGGAAGCTGAGTGTTCAGTGGGCACAAGCAGCCCCATGCAGCAGGATGGACTGGCATGCATCACCGACTACCTACTTGGGGGTCAAGGGTGGGCATGTGGAGAGCCAGCCTCTCAATGTCACCTGTCACCCAGAGAGAACACCTTTCCAGGTTGGGGCAGAGATAGCCCTCCTGCTGGAGAGTTGCATCTGGGGTTGTGGGGCCTGCTTCTCCTACGACAGGAATTAGGACTGGATACAGCTGGGGTACTTCATACTCAAAGGGGTCCACATCTGGCACAGACTACTGACAAGACATTACTCCAGTGAGGGGAAATTTGCTTGGCCTGGGTACTGGGGATATGGATTTTCAGGGGCATGGAGGAGGGAGGCACAAAGTTTGCTGCATCCACAAACCAAATCTCTCTCCTTTCCAGGATCTGAAATTCCACTATTAGAGATTCATTTCTTTGGGTCTGGTTTGGGGGTCTTCAGTGACCCCCCAATATCATGCACATGTCCCCTTATCATACCTAAGTTATTGTGGGGCAATATCTTAGCAATGGAAATAGGAGGGAGTACAAGTATGTGGGGGGCAAGTAGAGGGGTCAAGTTACCAGGGGAGGTGGAAGGGTATGCCAGGCCCTCTTGTTTGCTGCACTCTTTTGTCAGAGGGTTGGCCCTGCACAGGCCCCTGCCTCCCTTCCATTGTGCCCTGGCTGGCAGATTCTTTAACACCCTCCTGAAGCTCAGACTGGCCAGGAAAGAAGCCAGAGAGAGGTGAGAGTGGGAAGGTTTCTGAGCCCCTCCCTCCTCCTGTCCCCCTCAGGGGCTGGGTCAGGAGGTAAGCTGGCAGGTGGAGGTGGGGGGTGGGGAGGGCTAGCAGAAGCTCCCCATCTGATTGACTCAGCTCCAGGAGAAGGAGCCCTGGGCCCTGCAGTTCCTGGGAAATCCTTTGTAGTGGAAGGGAAAGGCTTAATGCCCTCTGTCCTTGAGAGGAGAGGTCTGCCTTCAAATTGCTGCACCTCATTTGGCAAGGGAGACAGGAGGCAGAGAGCCCAGGGACCCTGGAGGGACGCAGCCTGCTGGGGGCTGCTTTGGTGCCTCATGCTTCATCCTGGCTCCTGATTCGACACACTCTGATTCTCTTCTAGGTCAAGTCACTAGGTCTCCCCATTATTCTTTGTAGCCCCGCCCCCCTGGTCAGTCCCTCTTCCTTGCCTCACTCCCCAGGAGGTCCAGATGTTTGTGACACTGGCTGGTGGGGGGTGAGGAGAAACAGAGGGAAAAGTCAGGGCTCTGGGTGGGGAGTACAGCTGGGCTGGTGCTGGGCCCCTGCAAGATGGAAGGCCAGGGACTCTGGCAGAGCCAGAGGCGGGGTTCCGCCGAGGGGGTCCCAGGCTCATCACTTAGACTCTATCCCCCCTGGTCATTGTGGATCACTGGATATAGTGGGAAAGGGCCTTGGAGATGATCCAGCCCAAATCCTCATTTACAAATGAGAAAACTGAGCTGCCCCTCCACCCCCTCCCCCCAGGAACGAGTGACTTGTCAAAGGTCACTCCAGTAGTAAATGACGGCTGGAATTTGAACCTCAGTGATGTGTGTGTGTGTGTGTGTGTGTGTGTGTGTGTGTGTGTGTGCAGGCGCATGTCCCAGGGAATCCACATCTTCCCAGCCTGCCTACGCCCCATCCTTAGATGTTTGTGTGCGAAGGGGACCGAGATGGGGTGTGGGCAGGAGGTCCCGGGGGTGGGCGGGGACGGATGCCTTGTGCTTTCATGTAGGATACCAGCTGGTCCGGGATCTCAGCCAGTACATCTCTGGCCAGGCGAGCCATGCTGAGCACGTGATTCCCTGTTCGGTCCACATAGTCCCGGAATGGCACAAACTGGAGAAACAGAGAAAGGTTGTCAGATCAAGCTGCTCACAACATCCTCCATCCAATCAGATCACCCCCCGACCCTACCCACTCAGCCAAGGAAAATAGGCACAGGCTGGTCTTAAGGACACCCACCTCCTAAGGGTGTGGGACTTCTCATATGGTCAGAATTTAGTATGACTGCAACTACTTAAAAATTCTTTTGAGTTCATGTGGCTATTACAGCTCTTTTGAATGAAGTTTTTGGTGCCATCCTGTTCAAAGTACAGTCATAATTTCTAAAAGGAACATTGGAGATTTTTGCAATAGAGTTATAGTTTTGAAGGACCCTGACCTAGGCTTATAGGAAGGACCCCTTCTCTAGGGACCTGTTTCTTATCTGTCTCATCTTTTCCACCGCCTCTGATACCACTAACATTTACGAAAAGTTGGACACGACTGAACAACAACAATAAATAGGGAGCAGCTAAAGGTCCTTGAGCAAGACAGTGAAAGCACGAGACGGATAAATGAGAGGTATAAGGGACTGCGAAAGGGTGGCTAACTGGGAGGAAATTGCAGGAATCTAGGGGTAAGGAGATGAAGACAGTGCGTGACTGTGGACACAAGAGGAGAAGAAGGTGGTTAATGAAGCCTGTCCGTCTTATAACCCTCCTCTCGCATCTGACTTCCAGGACACCACTTTACTGGCTATTCCTTCTGCCTCTCCCACTGGCTGCTGTTCATTATCACCACTGTTTCCCCGGACTCAGACCCAGGACTACTGCTCCTCTTCCTCTGATCAGCTTTTGTGGTTCCAATTACCACCTCAACGTGGAGAATTCCCCGACATTTCTATCTCCAGCCCAGACCTTTCTCCAGTCTTCCTCACTTCAGGCACTTATAAGAGAGCTCCATTTCTAGATTTGACCAAGGTCTTCAATGTGGAATGATTACCTGTCTCTCCTTTCCCTGTCACATCTGTTGCCTTCTCTTGATCACTCTATGATTATCAATGACACCACCGCATCTGTTGCTTTCGGACCCTAAACTTCTGGAACTGTTTCTGATTCAGTATTTATTCATGCCTAGGGACCCAATTAGGGCAACTAGGTAGTATGATGGATAGAGCACCATGCTTGAACTCAAGAAGACTCATCTTCCTGAGTTCAAATCTGGCCTCAGACACTTAGTAGCTGTATGACCCTGGGCAAGTCACTTCACCCTGTTTGCCTCGGTTTCCTCATCTGTCCAATGATCTAGAGAAGGAAATGGCAAACCACACCAGTATTGTTGCCAAGAAAACTCCAGATAGGGTCATGAAGAGTCAGATATGACTGAAACAACTGAACACAAAGGGACCCAATTACCACAGAAGATCAATGTTGGAAGGTACCTCAAGGGACCATCTTGTCCAACTCGTATGTGACCAAGAGCTTCCTCCAGTATCCTCCAGCCTTTGCTTGAAGACCAGCAGGAGGGATTTCCAACTTCTGCCAAGTCTTTCTCTTCAACATTTCTCTCTGCCCATTCCTCTCTTGTGTCTATAGTCAATGCGCCATCTTCATCTCCTTACCCCTAGACTCCTGCAATTTCCTCCTGGTAAGTCTCCCTTTCCCAGTCTTTCTACCCCTCATTTATCCTTCTCATGCTTTCACCGTCTTGCTCAAGGACCTTCAGCTGCTCCCTATTTGTTGTTGTTGTTCAGTCATGTCCAACTTTGTGTAACCCCACGGACGTGCCAACAGCATGCCAATACTGTCCATGGGGTTTTTTTGGAAAAGATACTGGAATTGTTTGCCGTTTCCTTCTCTGGAGGATTAAGGCAAACAGAGGTTAAGTGACTTGCCCAGGGTCACACAGCTAGCAAGTTTCTGAGTTGGATTTAAACTCAGTTCTTGACTCTAGGCCCAGTGCTTGATCCACTGAGCCGCCCAGCTGCCTCTCTTTCAGAGAAACACACAACCCAAGGGAACACAGATACAGACACATAAGGAAAGCCACTCAAGTCACCAGATTCCCTGGAGCCACCCTGCTATGCCGTGATGAGGTCTCTTACTCTCCTTCCTATCAACATAACTCAGTACAAAGGATACAGTGTAAAGGCCAGATTAGGAACACCAGCCCAGAGGTGTAGGCTCTTTCCATTGCCTTCATCCTCAGAGGGGAAAGAAGCCTATGCTCTCCACTTCTCACAGCTCACCTTCCTTGTCCCCGATCCCTGGCTGTGGCAGCAACATGCTCCCTGGAAAGCAGGGACTGTGTCTGCTATTACCTTTGTAATATATATGCCCACCAGAGCTTCTGGTACAATATTCTGTTAGGTAACTAATAAACTGGTCAATTATTTGATCACAAAATAGCTAGAGTGTCTACTATGAGACTGGCACTATGCCGGGGGATACAGAAAGAGTAAAGACATGACCACTGTAGTTGGATGGGCAGAACAAAGATAAGGAGAAGGAAGAGAGGACAATACAGCAGAATAGCCAATGAAATGCTATTGATTGGGAGTGCTAGCTGGGCAAGGTCAGAAAAGCGGAAGATTGGTTGGGGTGGAATAGTCAGGGAATACTTCCTAGAGAAAGTGGGCCTTGAGTTGGGTCTGGAAGGATGAGGCAAAGTTGGATAGATGGGGAGGAGGGGGAGGGAGAGTGTGACTGTGTGTGTGTGTGTGTGTGTGTGTGTGTGTGTGTGTGTGTGTAGAAGGTCCTTAAAAATGGGTAGGACTGGAAAAGGTGGAGAATGGAGTGGAGGGTGGGAAGACAGGGACACACATGTCAATGAAGACAGGGAGGCGGTCCAAGCGTGGAGTGTCTGGAGACAGTTCAGACACTCTCCTGAACTGGATCAGCCCAGGACCCCAAGTCCTTTTCTTCCTTTGCCCTCTCCAGGGAAGCCCCCATGGGAGAGGGGAGGGTACTGAATTCATCTGGGAGACTGCAGACAGGCAAGCTAGGTAACTCAAGGACATGGGGCCTCTGGGCAGTTACCTGGACGATATCCCGCTCTGCTAGCCTCCCCCTGGAGGAGATCCGGATGTCGTCACCATCCAGCTCAACCATGGCTGTACCAAGAAGGAGAGATCATGTAGGTTTAATTGAGGTATGGGCCTGACCTGACCATAGTAGGGGTTCTGCCTGGGGGGCTCCCCCTGAAGCCATGGATTACCCACATCTCCGCTCCCAATCACAGATTCATGGAATGTCAGCATTGGATATGGCCTTAGAGACCATCTAGTCTGGGGGCCACCAACCTGAGGGACACATACCTTCAGGCTGTAGAAAGCTTATAAAGAGGGTCTAGGGAATATCTGGTAAATAGCTCTATTGTCCTATGGAAATATTTCAAAATACTAGTGCTAGTGAACAAATAAATGTTCCTAGGTACCAGGTAAAATGTTGGGGTTTTTTTATGAAAAATGATCTTTTTATTTTAGTTTCACAAGGAGTTGTGGTTTGGCCGGGGTGGGTACTCTCCCCACTGACACAAATCACTATCTCCCTACAGCTTAGTTGAGAACCTTGAGGGTTGCCATAACTGAGAAACTGGTCACCTGGAAACCAACCAGGTAATGAACCAGCCTCTCTGTCCTTAATTAGGCTGGTCCCTGGACAATAGCCATATAGCCTCTCCCAGGGCCACTGCCTAATGCCAGCCTGCCAGGGCCTGTTCTCTGCTGACAGAGCCTTTGAGAACCCAGGGACACCTCCTATGCCAGGACCAAGAATCAGAGGAAGAATTTAGTCCCTCATTTTACAAGGGAGGAAACTGAGGCCCAGTGAGGGGAATTGGTCTCATGGTGAAGGGCAGAACTGGAATGAGCCAGAGTTTCTAGATTTCCCCCTCAGAGAGCTTTCCTTGATAGCATACCGCCAACCCTCTCCTCCACCCCCAGGTTCTCAAAGTCGAGTGAGAGGAGTGGGCTTTGCGGAGTTGCGGGGCAGGGCAGTGAGGGAAGGCAGCTGAAGGATGACTCTGAGAGCTTTACACACCCCAGGCCAGTGCATAAGAGCTGTGTGTGTGTTCACAGACATTGGGAATTACCCCACATGTTCTTCCTTTTACAAATAGCATTCTGTGCATTCACCTGCCATTACGGATAGCCGGCCACACACCCACATACATACATGCATGTGTACATATATGTGTATGTATATATACACATATATATATATACACACCCACACATTCACTCACCAACTCACATGCATCTCATTTCATTACTTCATTACTTCCCAAGTGTAGATTTTCTACTCTAGTCATGCACACAGGAGGCAGCAGGTAATAATAATCATTATCATAATAATAGCTAACATTTATATAGTGTTTATAGTGAAGAAGGGACCAGCTCTGAAATCAGAGGGTACAGGTTCAAATTCTGCCTCTGATGTTGAGTCCGTGTGTGACCTTGGGAGAGTCACTTAACTTCCCTCAACCTCAGTTTCCTCATCTGTAAAATGAGGGCAGTGTTCTAGATGATTTCACCTCTGAGTTCTCTTTCAGCTCTAGATCCAAATCCTATAAATTACTTGTTCCTTGTCCCCTAAATGTGCATTTTCCATTTCTGTCTTTGCACATCATTCTTAGAACCCCGAATTTGTCCTCCCTCTGCAGCCCCCGGCCCTCTCCACCAGCCTGATTGAAACTCCTTCCCTCCCAGAAGCCTTTCTGGGCAAACCAGACACCTTCATGCCACCAGTACCTGTCCCCTTAAGACCTACACACGGTGTTTGAAGTGTGTAAATGTAGCCACAGTTTGCAAAATTCACCTGGATTCATAGGAACATAAATGGAGAGCCAGAAGGGACCTTGCGGGTCATCTAGGCCATCTGGAGAGGTCTGAGAGTGTTTGGGGAGAAGGAGAGGGAGGAAATGTCCCCACATCTCCTTTACGTGTTTAAATTCTGTCCTCCCTCAGGACGATGATGATGGCCATGAAAATGACGAAAATAACAGCTGACATCTATATAGTACTTTGGTGTTACACAGATCAGCTGATCTTCTCAATGCCCCTGGGAGATAGGCAGAGCAGGGGTTTTTAATCCCCATTCTACAGATAAGGAAACTGAGTCAGAAAAAAGTGAAATGATCTGTCCAAGGATCACATCGCCTGTCAGTGGTGGTGCAGGGCACAAGATGACAAGTCTGCACAACCAGTGGTGATTTCTCTATTCCAGTTCTTTCTCATTCTCATGCATGTGCATGTGCATGGGCACGTGCATGCACACACACATACACACCACTTTCTCTCTCACCTACTGGCTTCTCTTTCCTTTCATACACACTCTCTTCTTTCTGTCCTGTCTCCCTCACTAGATCTTCTCACACATACTCTTTCTCCACTGCTTCTTTCACAGGCTTTTCTTTCTCTCTTCTATCTCTCTCACACAAACTCTCTCTTTTATAAGCTTTCTCTTGTTCCTCTCTCACATACTCTCTCTTCTACATCCGTCATACACACATTCTTTTCTCCTCTCTGTCTTACACACACACACACACACACACACACACACACACACACACACACACACATCTCCTCTCTCATAGGTAGGAACAGTTGGAGCCCACCCCATGGGTATTATGGTAACCCTAAGGAAGCATAGAATGATAGGAAAGGAAGAAGGAAAAGGAAAGCAACTGGGTCTTACCATCAAACTCAGCCTGGCCAACGCCCACGATGATAATGGACATGGGGAGTTTGGCAGCCTGTTGGGCAAAGAGCACCAGCATGGGAAGCCAGAGGGAAAGCAGAACACACAGAGAGGGAGAAGACACAAAGAGATTGGGGGGCAGAGGGAACAGCAGACAGAGAGAAAGAGGCAGAGTGAAAGGGATGATAAGACAAAGAGTGAGGGAGGCATAGAGAGAACAGAAAGAAAAAGGGAGAGGCAAAGTAAGAGAAAAAGAGTAAGACCAAAGAAAAGTCAGAGAAGAGGGGATGACCAAAAGACAGACAGAGGACCAGAAACAGGGAGAGAGACAGGGAGAGTGGGGATTGGTCTGAAGTCTGATACCCCAGAGTAGCGGGAGCCCACCCAGGACACCTCTTCCCCTCTTCCTTTTTCTCCAAACTTGAACTTAATCAGTAAGAACCTGACGCTGCTGAGCTGGCCATCTGAGATCCTTCCAAGTTTTATTTGGGGCAGGGAGAGAAACTAGGGCTGCTACCCCCTCCCCCCGGGCGGAGGACCCAGCCTTATCCTCCAGAACTGCTCTTGCTGAGTTTTCCTTTCCTCCCATAGGTTCAGACCCCTTAACGGTCTGAATTCATTTGGTCCAAAGCTAAAAAGGCAAAGAATATCAGATTCCCTCCCAGGTTCTCCCTCCAACTCTATACCCACATGCAGGGCAAAGTTTCAGGCCAAACATTGGGTGTCTAGAAGCAAGGCCACAAAAAGGTGTGAGCAAAAGAAGGTCCAAAGCCACTCCCATGCAGGACATTTCCTCCAGAATCCCACCCAAGACTCTGCCTATTGCATCCCCTCAGACTCACATTGACGATGGCTTCCTTGGTCTGCGCCATGTCTGAGATGACCCCATCTGTGATGATCAGCAGCACGGAATACTGGGAGCCATCTTGCACAGTTGCTGCATGCCTTTTGGGGTTTTGGGGGGGGGGTTAGGTGACAGAGCTCTAATCCCATGCCTGGGCAGGGTCTGAGGAGGGGATGGGGTGGCCTCTATACATAATCACCTTCCCTTTCTCCCCCACCCAGGAAGAGGAGCTCTGTGTATGAAACTGACTGAGAAGACCAAGAGGGAGGTTGGAGCAAGGCATTGGTGCCAGTGTTTTTGGGGTTCTCCTAAAGACACTGGGAAAGAATGTCTTTTCAGAGATGAGTTGGTCTCTTTGAGAAGGGGGCAAAGGGAAGGGTTTCTCCTGGAAGGGTATGAAAAGGGACTCACCTGGCCACATGAGTGACCACCGGTGCAAAGTTGGTGGGGCCATAGAGCTGCACGGTGCGAAGGCTTCGGTGATAGGCCTCGAGGATACCATCAATACCACAGCAAGAGGGGTTATCCGGATTGCCATTCTAGGAGCAGAGGACCAGCAGGCTCCCAGAAGGGGAGACAAGGGAGCAAAGGGAGGAGATGGGGAAAAGGATTGGAGGCAAACGGGCAAGACACCCAGGGGCAGTGAGGGAGGGGCAAAGCTTGAGGCCACCAGAAAGGGGACAAGAACAGTTCCATTTCAGGGGGAAGGAGGATGGGAAGATCAATCTGCAACCTGGCCCAGATGATGGAATGAAAATATTCCAGAATGACTCTAAAGCACTTTGGAATTATGCTTTTAAAAAAGTGCCTAAACATCCATGCTCGTTGACGCAGAGATGCCACTGCCAGGCATACAAGGCAGTCAAAGTTGGAAAGAAAAGTCCCATTTGGCCAAATATTCATAGCATCATTTTGGGGGGGGGGTTAGTAAAGAACTAGAAACAAAGAGATGCTATTGATTAAGGATTGCAACGAATATGAAATGAAATGAATATATTGGAATATTATCATGTCTTAGAAGAGTGAATGAGAAGCTGGATGAATTCAGAGGTGCAGGGGAAGACTTATGAAGTGATGAAGAGTGAAAGAAGCAGAACTAGGAAAACAATATACACAATCACTACAGTAATGTAAATGCAAAGCAAATAAGCAAAAAGAAAAAAACTCAACAAAAAAACCCAAAACAAATAAACAAAACCTCTGAAGCTTAATCCTGTGTAATGACAGAGGTTGGTCCCAAAGATGAGAAAATGCACCTCCCATTCCTTATTTGCAGAACTGGGGAACTATGGGTGTTGAACATTACATATACTGTAAGACTTCATTGCTGAATTGCTTGGTTGTTTTTTTTTTTTATTACAAGGCACAATGAGGAGAGAAGGGGACAGGGATGTATTCAAAAATGAAAATGATGCCAAAACAAAAGCAATCAGTAACAATTTAAAAAAGAAAGAATCTAGAGTTTAGAACTAGCCCCACCAGAACTCAAAACCAGAAGGGAAGGACCCAAGGCAGGGACTGGGGAGGGGGAGGTCCTAAAGGGAGGGCACAGAGAAATGTCTCAGGGAGATCACATAGTGGGGGCAACAATGCAGAAGGGGTGCCTACTCCCTAGTATAAGGGTCACCGTGATTCCTTGATGGGGTGGGCTCTGCTTATGCTGTGGTGGGAAGGAAGAGGATGGGTGGAACAGGGCGGTATATAAAAACACCAAACAACAGCTGGGCATGGTGGTCCTGCAGAAGTTTCAGAGGACCCTGTTTATCCTGGCTTAGTAATCTTCGTGACTGGGTTCAAGTCACATGTTGAAGGAAGGTAGAAGAGGAATATTCCAGATAGTTCAAAAGGTGAAAACTGTGTGAGGGCTCTCTGTGTTCTACTTTTCTCAATACTTCCCCAATTCTGAAGGACTGCCATGAAGTTGAACTCTTTTCCCTGTCCCCATTGCCCTTAAAGTTCCTGCCCTCAAGGAGCTTACATTCTATTGGGTTGGGGGTGGGGTGGGAGGGAGAGATTATGTCTTTGAATGGGATTCTACTACTCTGCCATTCTGGGCAAGCTGGTTGATGGGCCCAAATGATTTTTCACAATCTATTCCCTTCTCCTTTCTCTTACCTTCTTTCGTCACTTAGGAATTCCTTCGTTCCCTGATCCCCACCTTTGGATCAACTAACGCCCTTTCTAGACATCTCTCAAGTTTTCACATACTCTTTTCTGGGTTGTGTGAGTATGTATATGTGTGTATGAGCAGGTAATTCAACCAAATTTCTACTCTTGGCACTGAGCTCTCAGAGCTAGGATAAGTCCCAGAGCCATCTTCAGAGAGACTCAGAAGCATGAATATGTGAGGAAGGGACTGGGGGTAGTGGGGTGGGTCAGAGAACAAACTAGTCTAGTAGACCTTAGGGTCACTCAGACACCCTAGGGACTACTAGTCTGGGGCAGCCATGCTCCATTAAAAATGCCCTCCTCCCTCTCTCCCATTCCAACCCTCCCCCTGGACTACCAGCACCCCAACTTCTCCCCCATCCAGTGCCTTATTCTTCTCTCTCCCTCTCCCTTTTCTTCCCATTTCCAGGCTGACCTTAGAGGAGACACGTACCAGTGGGAACTCATGGGAAACTCTGCCATCAGGAGGAAGCTTGGCCCCAAAGCCCAGGGCTGGGAACATCTTGTCACTGTCATAGTCCTGGATGATCTCACCCACGGCTGTTAGCGCCAGAGCATAGGCATTCAGCTGGTATGGGCTCATGTAATGCAGGGAAGTGGATTGGGAAGGGTTGCCTGCCAGAGACAGGGGGTGTCAGGCTGGTCTGGGCTGATCAACAGCAGGACCCCCGCCATATCCTCCCCCAAACCCACCAGAGGCCCCCAAGACCGCTGCGGGTCTCAGGGCCAAGTTTCCTACAGTCGTTTCCCCACAATAACCAGATTCGATGCAACTTGATTTAATTCTATTGGACAAGCATTTATTAAGCACCTACTTTTAGTTCCAGGCACTATGCTGCATCATGGGAATTCTGAGACGAAAACAAAAGAATACTTGCCCTCAAGGAGGTTACATTCTACTATGAAGGATTTGTTATGTCCTTTGGCTCTATCCTCAGACACATTAAAAAAAATAAATGTGTACTGGCCCTTCTGTCTCTCCCAACACATACCATGCTCATTCTCCCCTCTCCTGTCTATTTAAACCCTCCCCATCCTGATCAGGTCCTACCTCCAGCTTGAAGCCCTGCTGGGCCACTCTGGTCCACAAGCCTCACTTCTCTGAATAGGCAGAATTTGCTGCATGTGCATTGTACGTGTATTGATCATTGTACATCTTGCATTATTCTCTAGTTATTTCATGTGTGGGTGTCTGTCATATCAACTGGATTGTAAGTTTTTTGAGGGCAGGGAATAGTTCCTTCCTCTCACCAACAGTGCCTCACACAGGTCTGGGCACTTCCTAGGCTCACAATAAGTATCTCTTGGTTCCACTTAAAAGGACTAAGCCTGACCCCGTTAGAAGCTAATTTCAGGCTTGAGAAGGCTGTGAGTGAGGATGCCCCCTCCCCAGTGATGGAGAGAGATGCTAAACCAGGGAAGCAGCCCAGTCAGGTGAGAGGCAGGATGGTAGAGTGGATGGCGGTCTGGACCACAGGTCAGGAAACATGGCTCCAAATCCTGCCTCTGATACTGACTTGCTGAGTGATCCTGGCTGTTGCTCCACCTCTCTGACCCTTGTTTCCCTCACACGTAAAACCAAAGGCTTTTGAAGTTGGGAGGGATCTCATTTTAAAACCTCCTCATTTTACATGGCAGTTTTATGGAGGGGACTGAGGGCCAGTATTAAGTACTGGGGGCACAAGGAAGGGCAAGAACATTCTCTGTCCTCAAGGAAAATTAGATTCTAATGGAGGAGACAACATGCAAATAATATGTATAGAGAAGACAGAGACGTGTCCATGGAAGGCAATGTCGGGGGAAAGAAGGGGCTGGGAGATGAAGAGAAAGGGCAAGAAAGGCCTTTTGCAGAAAATGGTATTGGAGTTGAGTCTTAAAGGAAACCAGGGAAGCTAGGAGCCAGAGGTGGGGGCGGGGAAGCATTCTAGGTATGGGGGAGAGTCAGTGAGAATGCACGGTCAAGGGATGGAGTGTTATATGGGAGGAACAGCAAGGAGGCCATGTAGCTGGATCATGGACTAAATGGGGCAAGGGTGAGGTGAAGTATAAGAAGACTAGAAAGGTAGGAAAGGATTGGGTTAGGAAAGGCTTTAAATGCCAAAGAGGGTTTTAAATTTGATCCTAAAGGTAACAGGGAGCCACTGGAGATTATTAATTCAACACAAGGAAAAAATTGATAATAATTAGAGGTATATTAAAGAGGAACAGAGGACAACTAGGGGCCACAGTGGATACAGTGGGCCTGGAGTCAAGAAGACTCATCTTCCTGAGTTCAAATCTAGCCTCAGACACTACCTAGCTGTGTGACCCTGGGCAAGTCACTTAACCCTGTTTGCCTTAGTTTCCTCATCTATAAAATGAGCTGGAGAAGGCAATGGCAAACCACTCCAGTATCTTTGCCAAGAAAACCCCAAATGGGGTCACAAAGAGTCAGATATGACTGAAATGACTAAACAGTACAACCACAAAGAGTAATAGACTGCCTCTGGAGGTACCAGGTACCTCATTACTGGTGGTCTTCAGGCAGAAGCTAGATGACCACTGATTAAGGCTGTTGTAGATAGAATTTCTATTCAGGCTAAGGTTCATTGGATAGCCTCTAAGACTCCTTCCAACTCTGAGATTTGTTCTATGCCCTACCCAAGGTCACACCAACATGCTCAGTTGGTAATAATGACTTAATGGGTTACTCCTCCCCTGTAACATATTTACACTAAATAGGGGCCTTCTGGCCAAAAGGGCTGAACTAAATGACTTCTAAAGGTCTCTTCCAACTCTGAAGTCCTTTGTTCTGGAGGGAGAGAGGGCCCCGGTAGCTCTGAGTGAGGCCTGGGAAAACTGGGTCATGCAGGGTGGGTACAATTCAGAAGGTCCAGAGAAATGAAACAAGGGGCAGGTTGTAAGGCTAATAATGAATGAATTGTTTAGTGATGTGATGCCTAGTAACTAATGAAACCTGATATCCCACTGGCATAGGCATAAACAAACACAGGCCCAGCTCAGGGGTGTATATGAGCCCAAAAGGAGAAAAACGGTCTAAGGAAAAAGGTCCTAGGAAAAGTAAGGCATGCTAATAATAACTAATATCTTTCCATCACTTTAAGGTTTGCAAAGATATGTGTATAGATCACAAATATAACATTCATATATATATATATATATTGTTGTTGTTAAGTCGTTTTCCAGTCATGTCTGACTTTCTATGACCCCATTTGGGGTTTTTGTGGCAAAGATACTGGAGTGGTTTGCCATTTCCTTCTCCAGCTCATTTGACAGATGAAGAAACTGAGGCAAACAGGGTGAAGTGACTTGCCCAGAGTCACACAGCTAGTAAGTGTCTGAGGCCTGATTTGAACTCAGGAAGATGAGTCTTCCTGACTCCAAGCCCAGTACTCTATCCATTGTGATATATAAACAACAAATAAATAAATAAATATGTACACATGTGTGTGTGCATGTATGTATATGTATATATGTCGGTCAACAACGGGATCAGTTCCAGTGAGCTGCCCTTCCAGTCTGTATGAGATGAGGAGACCCAGTCTCAAACAGTAATTTTAATAATTATAGCACCTATCTCAAAGGGTTAGTGTGAAGATCAGGTGAGATAATATATATATATATTGTGTATATATATATAATGTATATATATGTATATATATACACATACGCAGATATATACATGTATATGTTGTTGTGTTTGTCCTTCGTTCTCCAAGAGGACCAGGACATCAGGGAGATGATGACATGACTTGCAATTGACTTTGATTTGAGTGAGGGAGTGCTGTGCAAGGTCACCAGCCTCATTTCTCCTCCAAAGCCATCTTGGTCCAGTGACCAGATATCAATCAGGATGACTTGGAGAAGGACCAGAATGCAATGGGAGACCCTGGCCCTTTTAAGCTAAGGTCTTTTCAGGTTCTCACTTTGAGTGAGGCAACAGATACATGTGTATATGTGTGTGCATATATTATGTGTGCATACATATACGCACATATATACACATAGATGTATGTATGTATAATGTTTGTGTGCATATATATACATATATACACATGTACCTTCACACTAACCCTTTGAGATAGGTACTATTATTACTAAAATTATTGTTTAAGACTGGGTCTCCTCATCTCATGCATGCTGGAAGGACAGCAGCCCTTCACGGGAGTTTATTCCACTGCTGATCGGCACAGGAATTTTGGTCTGCTCCATTTCTGACCTAGGACAGTTGCCCCTCCATGGGCAGCCTGGTGGCCCCTTCACTCCTGGGTGCTCACCCTATTGGTGCCAGACTTAGTGAAAACACCTAATTGACTTAGAGTTACTACAATTTAGAATTACTGAGCTCAAGCAATCCACCAGCCTCAATCTCTCCAGTGGTAGGGATTACAGTAATGCACCATCACCCTGAGCCAACAAGTGTTATTATTATTTCCCTTTTATAGAGGAGGGAACTGAGGTTCAGAGAGGTTAAATTGCCTGTCCAGGGTCATCTAGCTAGTAAGTGTCTTAGAAGATCAATCCATAAGCAACAATTAACTGTCTACTAAGCACCAGGCACTGCTCTAGGAACTAAGGATACAAAAGTGAGACAATCCCTGACCTCAAAGAGTTTACATTTTCCTAACAGGACAGAACATGTTCATGGTTAAGCACACAGAAGCCACATAAACCTAATTTCACAGTGATTTGGGTATAAGGTGAGATTTGAACCCAGGCTTTCCTGACTCCAAATCTCATGCTTTCGGCATTATGTTCTGGGGATCTCTTGGCTGCCAGGACTGCATTACTGAGGACCACTGTACTGAGTCCTGAATTTATTTTTCTTTCCTATAGCCAGCTGCTGAGCAGTTCAGGTTCAGAGCAGACCAGAAAACTGAGTGAGAAGGAAAAACCATTTTCTTAAAGAAAAAAAAAAGATTTCATATAGCATAGGTCTCTAAGGATTGCATGCTTAATTATTTTCCATGGGTCTGTCCTACCCATTAACTGGACTGGAGGCCCCTGGGAAATAGCACTCATGTGTCATTCATTCCCCTTTGTTCCCCCCTATCCCTAACCCCACAGGTCCCCATACATGTAGCAGGTGATTCCAAGATGGCAGCAGCTGAGCGGTTAGTATGTATGCACAATGTGCTCCTAGGATGGAGCACCTTGGTGATCTCACTCAATACAGAGAAACCATCCCTATGCCTTGAGAGTTTCCTGAATTAACAAATACAGATGGATGTAACATCCCTGGCTGGAGCTTTGATCCCTTGTGCCTTCTAAACTCCATCAACCTTGGTAGGGAACATCCACAAGTTATTCTTGCTTACAAAGAGGGGAAATCGAGGCAAAGGAAGTGCCAAGGATAGGGGGCAGTGCTTGTCCAGGATCATCCATCAGATTACGGTCAACAATCCACTCCTTAGCCCTTTATATCACATCCCTCCCCTCCCCCACTTCCTTTATGCATCAAGGAAATCACTTCCCTTTATCAGTCACTCACCATTGGAGGCGGTGAAGTCGATGGCAACCGTGAAATTGATCTGAGTCCTAGGAGTGGAAGAGTAAGAATGGTTATTGCCTGAGAAGGTGATTACAGTACAGGAGACCAGCTGGTACTTCCACATACTAGCTGTGACATCTAGGGCAAGTCACTTTACATAGCTGGACTTTCCCTCTTCTGAAAACAGGAGAACAATAGCCTCTGCCCTATCTCAAAAGGTGTTTTGTGATAACTGGGTGTGGAATATCTTTGCAAAGCAAGAGGTGTCTAGAGTCAGGAAGATTCCTCTTCCTGAGTTCAAATCTGGCCTCAGACACTTACTGGCTGTGTGACTCTGGGTAAGTCACTTCACCATGTTTGCCTCAGTTTCCTCATCTGTAAAATGAGCTGGAAAAGGAAATGGCAAACTGCTCCAGTAACTTGACCAAGACAACCCCAAATGGAGTCACAAAGACTCTGAAAGGACTATACAACAACATTTAGCTGTGGAATCTCTTTGTAAAACAAGACGAAACAAAACAAAAAACCACGTTTGTTGTCATCTTTTCCCAGGGCCTTCAGAGAGAAACAGGAAGCTGGACAGTTATACTCAGCTACAAGTCTGGGCACTGATCTCATAGCCACCTCTAACCTCAGGTGACAGATGTGGGGGGGATAAGCTAGAGAAAGTTGGAGAGTCTGTTCGAATCACAGGCAAAGTTTCATATCAGTCATTTACACCACAGGACGAATTTGAGTCTCCATATCATATTTTTGCCTATGTATCAGAGGAGCCCCAAGACATTTTGGGCCTACTCTCTCATTTTGAAATTAAAGACTCTGCCCTTAGCATGAGGACATTTTTAAGGCAGGGAAACTCTTTTCTGTCCCCCAGGAACATGTTACAAATTATGTTCCAATGGAGTCCCAGAATTATCTGTTCCAAGATGAATTAAAAACAAAGGTGAAGGATCTATCTAGCAATAGTATATTGGAATGGTGGGGGAGCCCTTGATCTCTTCCTCTCCCTTGGCTCCCCAAATTCAACACAAAATCTTTGTAAGTGATCTGAGTAAGGCAAGCATCTATTGAGTCTCTCAAAGGAAGAATCATAATAATAATAATGATGAGAAAAGGACCTGTGGTTTTAAGCTCTCTGGGCCTCAGTTTCTTCATCTGTAAAATGAAGCAACTGGACTACATTGTAGGCTTATGAAGGTCCCTTACAGCCAGGGGTGTGCTGGATTTCACCAAGAGCATTTATATCTGGGAAATCAGGAAACCCTACAAATCAGGGCTTCATTTATTGTTTTGTTGTACAGTAGAGAAAATGTTAATGATGCAGATTAAATTTAAGAGTGTATCACGCATTTTTTTTTTGGAGAGCTGGTTGTTAAATATTTACCTGCACTCTGAATTTGAACTCAGGTCCTCCTGACTCCAGGTCCAGCACTCTATCCACTGTGCCACCCAGTTGACCCTACTTGAGTAACTGTGAGCAAGTCATGTAATCTCCCTCTGATAAAGGCATCAGGGCATATTGGAAAAAATTGTATTTGGAACCAAAGTTAAGGTCCCTTCCTAAGGTCTGGTTCCAACCCCTGCTCCTTACTAGCTGTGTAGATAGGATGATATAGAAGGTGATAGATTTAGAGATGAAAAGGACTTTGGCCAAAGGTCATCTAGTCCAACACTCCCATTTTACAGATGAGGAAGCTGATGCCCAAAGAAATTAGTTGACTTCCCCAAAGTCACACAGGTAACGAAATAACTGAACTGAGATTCAAACCCAGGTCCTCTGACTTCAAAACCAGCCCTCTACCCAGTTCACCATGTTAGATAGTCAGTTCCTTTTCTGGGACTCTGTTTCCCCACCTGTAAAATGAGATGGTTGACCGGGTGACCTCTTAGGTTTGCTCTACCTCTGAATTTTATGATTCTGTGAAGTAGTTGGGAATCCTGATGGGGCATAGATACATAGCTATGGAAGTTTATCTGTGATGTCAGAGGCAGCATGGTAGTGAAAAGAGGTTTGCACTGAGTCAACATGACTTGGGTTCAAATTACACTTTCTGACCCTCAAGTTGCTTACCATCTCTGCACCTCAGTTTCCCAATCTGTAAAAATTAGGGAATTGGATCTGATGACTTTAAGGGTCCATCTACCTCTATATTTCTGGTATCTGAAATCTCTCCTGTGGGTGAGGGGCAAAGCCCGGCTACTGGGCCGGCATCCCTTCCTAACCTAGAGAACGCAGCCTGGCTCCCGAGGGTACAGCCAATCAGAAGGGCCAGCTGGGGTGATAGGAGGATTCTGAGACCCTGGGGGCAATACTGCCGGTGGAGAATCGGGGAAGGAAAGCCCAAGACAACACCCCCATCTTACCCCATGCCTGGGCAGGCCCTTCCTCAGGGACATGGCCAACAGGCTCTAGGTGCTAGAGAGGCCCTCAGGGAACATCTGGTCCAACTCTTCGATGTAGAATGGAAAACATTGACACCTGTGCCCTCCCACAGGGCCAGGGTAGCAGCTTTGGCCAGCTGGGCCTTGCTCCACCGCAGGCTTTGCCTGTTGAACTCCAGTAAGAACAGCTGGTTTGGAGACAAAGACCTTGGGTTGGAATCCCGAGTCTGTTTACTAGCTGTGTGACCTCAGACATGTTACTGCCCCTCCGGGCCTCAGCTTCCATCAGCAAAACAAGGAGGCTTTGGACCAGATGACCTCAGAGGTCCTTCCAGCTCTAACATTCTATGCTCCTAAGAAACTTGACTTGAGGCTGCGTGGGAATGGTGGAGAGAAAACTGGATTTGTAGCCAGAAGACCTGGGTTAGAATTCTGAATCTGCCATTTACTAGCTGTCTGACTTCAGGCAAATCAGGAAACCTCCCTGAGGCCCAGTTCCTCATCTGTAAAATTGAGGAGCTGGAGTAAATGACCCCCTGGGGTCCCTTCTAGCCCCAAATCTGCCATCTTGGGCCCTCTCATTTTTAACTTCTCGTGAGACCAGGGCTGGGGTGGCGGTACATTTTGATGTGGGCAGAAAGGAAGCGAGAGGTCTAGAGCACTGGATCCTTGCTACCCTGGGAAGGCAGTTTCAGATAAGGGACCAGAAAGGAGCATCTTGGGCAGAATGAGGGCATTGAGTGTCCAGATAAAGGGACTAGAGGAACCCAGATCTAGAGGGAAGCTTGGAAGTTACTAAGTCATAGATCTAGAAATTGGAAGCTATCAGAGGCCAGCCAATACTACTCCCCCATTTTACAGACGAGGAAACTGAGGCCAAAGGAAATTGTGACTTCAATGTGAGGTCAATGTTCTTTTCTTGTATGAATGAGTAGGCACTGACAGGGACCAGCTCTGACTGTAGTGATGAATTTGACCCAACTGCGTCCCACCTTTAATGTGACTGGCCAGCCAAGCTAGGAGGATGAGGGGTCCAGAGCATGTGGACTAAGAGCCAGATTTTGTCCTTTCCTTGTGCTCCAGAGCATATGGGCAGCCTTGCCACTCTGACACCCCAAGAGCATGGGGCCGGAGGGGAGCTGCCTCCAGCTGCCCCCAGCTGCCCCCAGCTGCCCCAAGGTCCTTTCCCTTTTTGATCTCTTCCCTTCCCTGCCCTGCCCTGAAGTATAGGGGAAGCATCTCCCTAGGCAATTTTGCCTCCACATCAAGGTTACCTTACAGGCTCCTGGTTGTTGGTGCCCTTTCTTACCTTTCTTTTCCTTGACTCCTGAGTATCTGCTTTTCTGGGGCTGTTTTTTTGTTTTGTTTTGTTTTTATTTTTCATCTGGACCTGTGATTTCCCCAAATGGGAATCTCCTGATGTGGAAACACCCTTCACTGATGCAGGTCAGCAACTCATCAGTAACATCATCTCAGAGTAGAGGTTCCTAACATTTTTTGTAACATGGACCCCTCCGGCTATCATTACCAGACAGCCAAAGGCCTCAGTTTCCTTATCTATAAAATTAGGAAGCTGGACTGGCCGGTGTCTGAGGGCACCTTCCAGTTCTAGAGAGCTTCCAAACTTCCCTCTACATCTATGTTTCCAAGATCCCTTTATCTGGGCACTCAATGCCCTCATTCTTCCTTGACCTCTGGTGCAGTCTATGAACCCTTTCCCAGAATAATGTTTTTAAATAATTGAGTAGTTGTTGTTGTTCAGTCGTGTCTGACTCTTTGTGACCCCATTTGGGATTTTCTTGGCAGAGATACTGGTATGGTTTGCCATTTCCCTCTCCAGTTCATTTCACAAATGAGGAAACTGAGGCAAAGGGGATTAAATAACTTGCCCAGAGTCACATAGCTAGTAAGTGCCTGAAGTCACATTCGAACTCAGGTCTTCCTAACTCCATTTCCTGGTGTCACCTAGCTGCCTTGAGATAATTGAAGGAAATGCTAAATTTCAGTTAGAGGTTAGTAAAAATGAAGATGTAATTTTTTTCTCCCATCCAAGCACACAGACACCTCTGAAATCTCTCCATGGACCCCCATCCAGGATAAGAATCCCTGTCTTGGATTGTTGCTTGGCCCACTGAAAAAGTTAGGTGACTTGCCCAGGGTCACCTAAGCAGGGTGTTTCAAAAGTTGGACTTGAATCTCAAGGCTATCTATGTCCAAGGGTGGCCTTCTATCCAATACTTCATGATGCCTCTGCCTAGGCCTCCTTTATCCCTGTTCTGTCTCTCTGTATTCATGATCCCCTGTTTCTCCCTGCCATCCAGTAACCGCATACTCCTTCATTCCAATCTTATCTGTCTTGCCTCCTGACCCCTTTCTTCTCCTTGACCCCTGCTAGCTGTGTCTCCCTTAATTCCTAGCTTATCTGCTTAGATTCCTGATCCTCTGCTCTTCCCTGACCTCTGGCAGCTTCATGTACCCTCACTACCCATTGCCCACCCAAACCTCTGATGACCTGCTTGACCTATGGATAATCCCTTTGCCTCTTCCTTCAGCTCCAGTGTTCTCAGATCCTTCCTTCCTCCCCAGCATAAAGACCCTTATTTGCCTTGGCCCCTGGTATCTATGCATCCTGCAACCATTGCCTCCTGCCCGGTGACCATCCCAACCTTGAAGTCTGCCTTGCTCTGAGGCTCTTTGTGGCTCTAAGCTGGGATGCCAACCCTCCTGCCTCATGGGCCAGTAACTCAGGGACCCAATGGTTAGTGGAACTCTCTGTTGAGTGGGCTAAGAGGCTTAAATACGTGTTGTTATTGTTGTTGTTAAGTCATTTTTCAGTCATGTCCAACTTTCCACGACCCCGTTTGGGGTTTTCTTGGCAAAGACACTGGAGTGGTTTGTCATTCCCTTCTCGGCTCATTTTACAGATGAGGAAACTGAGGCAAACAGGGTAAAGCGACTTGTCTGGGGTCACATAGCTAGTAAGAGTTTGAGGCCAGATTTGAACTCAAGAAGATGAGTTCCTGTTTCCAGGCCCAGCACCCTATACACTATGGCACCACCTACTTACCCATCAGTCACGCCTGACTTGTATTGGACTCTTCGTCCGTGACCCCATTTGGGGTTTTCTTGGCAAAGACACTAGAGTGGTTGGCCATTTCCTTCTCAGGCTCTCTTTGGAAATGAACCAACGGACTAGGAAACTGAAGCCAACAGGGTTAAGTCCAGGGTCACACAGCTGGTAAGCGTCTGAGGGCAGATTTGAGCTCAGCAACAGCCTAGCACGCTATCCACTACATCACCTAGCTGCCCAGAAGTTCACGTGTCAGAAGTAGGGTTTGAATCCACACCTCTATAACAGAGACCAGAACACCTAGAGAGCTTCCTATCTGAGCCTGGAGTCTGGTGCCTTAGACCGCTAGACCAGCCTGACACTTATTTAAGCACAGGTGATCCTCAAATCCCAAACATCTGAGGCTGTCCTTCAGAATCAGTCAGGCCAGTGATGCCCGCAGTGACGTAGGCCCAAATGCACAGGGGTGACACCTGGAACTCTGCATTTGGGAACTCATACGACTTTTAAGTTCAGCGTGTAAGGAGCCCTTCTCTCACCCTCCTTTGATATAATCCAAGAACGTGCATTCTGACTCCACCGCGAAGGACAGTAGTGTTACCTTGGGGGAAAAAAAAGACAGAGCATCCATTAGCCACGATGGGTATCACCACGGGGCAGGGCTAGATTTGGGGATTGGATGTTTGGGTTTGCCTCCGATCAGAAATCTCAATTCAGTGCCTATTACATGCCAGACACTGGCTAGAAGCGGGTGACACATATACATAAATGAAACAGGCCTGCCCTCAAGAGACTTATTTTCTCATCGGGGAAACAACACATCTAGGTCTCCCCTTACTTTTCTGTTCAATCCAAATTTAATTGAAAACACATTTATTAGGCTCTCCTGAGTGCAAAGCACATGGGGAGGTTCAAAATTTGAGGCTTACAGCTTAGAAAGTGGATGAGACACATTGCAGATTAGTACAATGAACAATAATGCATGTTTAAGTATATTAAAGAGAGAGACGACGAATGAGATAGGAGGGGGAGATCATTCCAAACAGAGGGGAGATGAGGGCATAGGCAGCATTTGAGTTGGGGTCCTTAAAAGAGGCATAAGAATTCCACAGGCAAAGAGGAAGAGGAAGAACGTTCTTATTAACCGGAGGGGAGTAACCCCCAGGCTGTCTGTGTTAGGTTAGGATTTCACCAAATTCTCCCCTCCTTTTTTGGGGAGTGTTGGCCTTTTAAATCCCCACTTTAAGCTCAGGAAGTTTGCTCTGCTTTTATAACTGTCTCCCCACTCCCATTACCCTCTATCTTAAATACTCTTCTCTATCCCCACTTGCAAGTAGCCTTCTTCATTTCCATTTTTGTTACTTGTATTGTTGTTGTTCAGTTGTTTCAGTCGTGTCTGACTCTTCACGACTCCATTTGGAGTTTTCTTGGCAAAGATACTGGAATAGTCTGCCATTTCCTTTTCTAACTTATTTTACAGATAAGGAAACTGAGGCAAACAAAGTCAAGTGACTGCTCAAGGTCACACAGCTACTAAGTGCCTGAGGCCAAATTTGAACTCAGGAAGATGAGTCTTGCTGACTCCAGGCCTGGAGCTCTATCCATAGCACCACCTAGCTGCCCTTTGCTAATTGTTAGTGGGTATGAAATTGTCCCAGTCCAAAATATATTGGTGTCAATATATTCCAGGAGTCCCTGGAAAGTACTGCCCTATAGAATTGGAAAGTAAAGGGATGCCTGTTAGTTGGGGACCAGCTGAACAAGTTATGGTATTTGAATGTGATGGAACACTTTGCGTTATAAGAAAGGGATGTTTTCAGAGAAACCTGGAAAGACTTATATGAACTGATGCAGAGTGAAACTGAGCAACACAAGAATAATTTACAGAATAACAATAATATTGTAAAGATAAACAACTCTGAAAAACTTAGGAACTCTGATCATCTCTGATTATCACAATGAACAATCATGATTCCAGAGGACTCATGATGAAACAGACTACTCACCTCCATTGAGACATGATTGTTTTTTGGGTGTGGCCAATGTGGGATTTGTTTTGCTTGACTATACATGTTTGTAAAAGGAGCTTTGTTTTTCTTTCTTTCTCAGAGGTGGGAGTGGGGCAGAGAGAAGAAGAAATGGAGGAGTGTGGGAAGGAGAAAAAAAGCAATTAAAAATTTTTAAAGAGAAAGTACCATCCTGCATCAGCTAATGGATCCCCAAACCTGGGCTTCTGTGTCCAGCATGAGCCAACTGGGATAGGGTATAGGAGCATGTGGGTAATCTCCCTGATTTTACCCTTACTGACTAGGGATGGGCCCTTCCATGGCTTCTCTTTATAAACCCACTATGAATGTCCAAGCAGGAATTTATACCTTAAGGGATGGGGATTGGACCTGAGATTTCAGTGATATGAGGAACTCCCAGGGGAGTAACTTCCTTTTACTAAGGCACGCCAGCACCTTTTAATCTTAAAAAAATCACCTGGAGCACTGTTAAATAACTTTCTCAGAACCATTTTGGGTCAAAGGCAGGATTTGAACCCAGGGATTCCTGGCTCTGAGGTCATTATACCACACTGCCTCCTGTGTCTTTTACCTACTGATACTCTCAGCCTACCCCAAATCTCAGGGTAAGGGGTTTTCTCCATCTCCCACTGACTTTTGAACTCGTCCTAAGTTTGCCTCTTTCTAGTTTCTGGGATTAGCCCCACCAGCACCTCATCCCAGAATCTGGTCACCAAGGGCCTGTTCCTCTCCTCCATCTGGGGCCTTTATCTTTCAGGCTTCATTTTTCAGGTTCCTCTCCTTTACAATCTCTGTGCTTCCAAACTGAAGAGTCCTAATCTTTTAGTCTGTCTTCACACCACCAGTGGGGGAGGCTGGGGAATAGATAAATGAAACAAAATACTTCTCTCCAAGAGCTCTGTTTAAGACAGCCCTTGCCCCAGAACCCAGGAAATGCATACGCATTCTCATCCAGCAAGCTTCTACTCAATGTAAGGCTCGGGATTTATGACACCAAGGACAGGTGCCAGTCAGCAATTTATCTTTGCCCTACATAGCAAGGAAGGGTTAGCCAACTAGCTAAATGAATGTGAGGGATGGTTCAGAGAGACCTTCGACCTATTTAAAGGAACCAGCTCTTTTCAAAGCACTCTGCTCTTTGGAGGATACCCTCCTCTGCTCATGGGTCATTTAATGCAATCAAACTGCCCCCCCATGCATGGAATATGTAATGTAATATAACTTGTACCTAAGCAAGAATTTCTTCTACAATCTCTAATAAAGAGTCCAGGCCTGTCAGCCGCAAATAGGAGCTGTCCAATCAGAAACAACCTACTGGGAGCTAGGTGGGGCAGTGCATAGAACACTAGCCCTGGAATCAGGAAGACCTGAGTTCATAATCCTGCCTCATTCATTTACTACGTGACCTTGGGCAAGTCACTTACCTGCAGGTTGCCTCAGTTTCCTCATCTGTAAAATTAGATCCAGGACTGGACAGCATCTCGAAGGCCATCTAATCCAACCCCCTCATTTTACAGATGAAGAAACCGAGGACCAGGAGGTGGTTATTAACAATAATAATGATAATAGCTAGCATTTATATAGCGTAAGGTTCACAAAGTACTTTACAAATGATATCTATGTACATTTGTTACAAGCGTTGTGCTTTTCTTTTTTTTTTCCTAATGGAGGAGGAGGGAGAGAAAATTAGTTTTAGTTAATTGAAAAAAATTTTAATTTAATTTTTTTTTTAAAAAACAAGGAACGTGCTGCCTTGGGGCAGCAGTGGGTGGCCCTTTACTGGAGGTCTTCAAGAGAAGGCCAGATGATTATGTCTTGAGTATATAGTAGAGGGAGTTCTTATTCTGCCACGGATTGGCCTAGATGACCTAGAGGGTCTTGTGAACTCTCAACTTCCGTGATTCAGTGAGCCCTTCCAGTGAACTCACTACTTCAGGAGGCAACAAGCAATAAGGTCGCCTTACTTATAAAAAAAAATTGGTAAATCGGGCTCATAGCTAATTAGCCAAGATTACCGAATTTCCAGTGCATTTCCGGAGGGGAGCCGCTGCATGGCTTCACGTAAGACCACCCATGGGGAGGGTGTGTGGTTCCCGGCTAGTTTTGTGAGACTTTCAAGAGTTGCCCCCCACCCCAGTTGGGATCCCCCAGGGCTCTTGGTTTCTCTGAGACCCTCCCCCAGTCCCTCTGATGCTCCTCCATGTGCCCAGCAGGTCTCCTCCTGGGCTGCTCTGTGCCGAACAGATGTAGAGGCAGCCTAGCTGGATCCTGGATTGCTGAGAAGCCCCCGTGGGAGTGTTTCTTGTCCAAATTTCATCCTGAAGCAGGCTGCCTGTTGTGTCTGTCATCTCCTGGGGGGTTGCCCCATGGGCACCTCCTCTCCTCCCCTCCCCCCTCCGCCCCCGCCTGTCTCCCCATCCTCCCCGGCTCTAGCTCCTACGTTCTGCACGCCAGGGCTGCTTGGTGCCTGACACACTTCAGAATACAGAATGTCTTCACTCAGCCCCTGGGGGAGGAAGGAGAGGGATGGGGTGGGGGTGAGGAAAGAGGGGAAACTCACTGTGCCAGAGTTCAGGTATTTCTTTTTCTTCATTTTCTTTTTCGGGTTTACCACCTGAAGGAGGGAAGAGTTGGATGGTCAGAGGGGAGGGTCTCCAGGCAGTCGGTGCCACTTTCTGCAGTGCGTGGAATTTATCTGCTCCCTCTGCTCCTCCCCCCCCCACAAGGACAAGGGCATGTAGAGGGGTCCCAGAGAGCTCCAAACACCCAGGGAAGAACCCCATCACTCACCTCCTCAACACATACTCTCGGGTCCATTCAGGCCTTTCTCCTCTATCACCAACACACATACGGTAGTTTCCTATTTAGCTAATAGAAAAGGTGCTAAACGGTTGCTTTTTAACGTGCTGAATGAATACAGATGCTGTGGGTGCTCTGTGAATTTTGGCAACTCGGCACAAAGCTCCGCTTGCTCTGCCCTGGTTACACCTTTGCTTCCAAATCAAGTGTTGTTTCTACCACACCTCATTTTCCCCACGTCCTTTATGCTGACTCTCTCATTTGATTTTCACAGGTTCTCACAATTTCAAAAGTGTGCTTCTATATATTTCTGTTATATGTATTTAAACATTTTCACTAACTCATTGAGAAAATTTCCACATACGCTTTATCACATCTCAGTGTCTTATAAACAAAATAATCCCTCATTTATGTTCTTTTTTTCCTGTTTCTCTGGTTATTTCCCCATCACAGCCCTGTAGGCATTCTCTCTAGACTACCACTTTCTTATGTGGGACCAGGAATTGTTAGCTTCGTATTATAGATCAGAATACTGAATGAGGTACAGAGAAGTAGAGCATTTTGCCCATGGTCACACAGCTATTTTGGAGGTAGAGCTGGCCTCCTGATACCTAGTCCAAAGTTTCCAATCCACTACTCAACAAGTCTTGATTGGATACTTACTTTGCAAAAGGCCTGAGGGGGGATGCAAGATTGGCCCAGACACCAGCCCTGTCCTCAAGGAGTTTACAATTCAGCAGAAGAGATGGAACTGAACTGAGAATACTGAACTCAGAATCATTGTGCTTGAGTTTGAAGTCTGTTTCTGTCATGTCCTCCTGTGTTACCTTGGATAAGTCACTTGACCCATTTAGGCCTCTGTTTTCTCATCTCAAAATAAGGGGCTGTACTAGATGGACTCTGAATTCCCTTCCAGCTCTAAATCTGTGATATGATAAATAGTACAAGTATCTACATTATAAAACATTAAGTTGTTGTTGTTACATCATTTCAGTTGTGTCCAACTCTTCATGACCCCATTTGGGGTTTTCTTTGCAAAGATACTGGAGTGGTTTGCCATTTCCTTCTCCAGCTCATTTGACAGATGAGGAAACCGAGGCAAACAGGGTGAAATGACTTGCCCAGAGTCACATAGCTAGTAGGTGTCTGAGGCAGGATTTGAAGTCAAGGAGATGAATCTTCCTGACTCCAGGCCTGGCACTAGCTATCCACTGCTCCACCCAGGTGCCCATCACATATGTGCCTAGCACATAGTAAGTGCTTAATAAATGCTTAATGATTGAGAGGATCAAGACAGGCTTCCTGTAGGAGGTGGCACTTGAGCTAATGGAAGCTGGAGGAAGTGAGGGAGTACTTGAGGTGAAGATGAATAGGAAGTGTATTCTTGGGCTGGAAAATGGGCAAAGGCCCAGAGACTAAAGATGGACGGTCACCTCTGAGGAACAGCAGGTGGTGATGTGAGTTTCATCACCTAACCTGGTTAAGAACCACGGCAACAGGTTCTGTTTCGCAACTAGAAATTTGTCACACACGGCCAAAGAGAACCAGAAGGTCATTGCTTCACAGGCTAATTCTTCCCTAAAAAGGCGATGGAACCGTCATCATAATTTAATTGATCCAGGGGACTAAGGCTTGAACTGCTGGGGAAGCTTCCCAGTCACCTAAGGTATGAAAGCCCAGTGCAGAATGGACTCCTCAGGCCTGATGGATTTCCCACTGGCCCATGAGTCGACACTCCCTGCTGATTTGTCTCTCCATCCTGCAGAGGATGAGGGATAGTGGCTCAAATGAACCCACGACGTACTGGAGGAACAGCATTTTAGCAGGTATGCAGAACGGGGGTTTAGGGAGGGGAGAGGCTCCCCTAACTGGAGGAGAGCAATTAGGAAATCACTGCAATAGTCCAGGTAGGAGGACACGAGGATCTGAGCTAGCATTGGACAAGAGGGCCTTGGAGGGGCCTTCCAAATCTGGGTCTACGAAGCTGCAAAGCGGTAAGAGAATGGAGGACCTGGAAGGGGACAGCATCAAGGGCACCAGTGGAGGGACTGGCATTTGTAAGGAGTCATCTGCGGAGAGAGCGAGTTGATGTAGTCACCTCCATGAGTGGAGACAGGAGACAGATGTGAAATAGAGCACACAGACCCAATAAAAACTGGCAACTCATTGGAGACCCTTGACGAATGAAGAGTGGAGGACATCTCCAGGGTGCAAGCCTGGATAACTGGAAGGATGGGGGTAGAAATAGGGAAGTAAGGAAGAGAAGAAGGTCACGAGCATTTATGAAGTGCCTCCTATGTATCAGGCGTTGCACTAAGCACTTTACAAATATCTCATTTGATCCCTGGGAGATGGATGCTATCATTACAGCTATTTTACAGAGGAGTAAACTAAGACAGATAGAGGTTAAATGACTTGTCCAGGGTCATACAGGTAGTAAGTGTCTGAGATGGGATTTGAACTCAGGTCTTCTGTTTCAGGACCTAGAACTTTATCTATTGCAACATTTAGCTATGTCTGTAGGGTGATCATAAATGAAGCCCTAATTGCTGATGAGATCACCAGTATAAACACAGAGACAGACAGAAGCAGAGATGCAGACAAACAGATAAAGAAGATAGGAAATTGGCAGCTAGGTGGCATAGTGGATAGAGCTCTGACCTTAGAGTCAGGAGGACCTGAGTTCAAGTCTGACCTCAGACACTTGACACTTACTAGCTGTGTGACCCTGGTCAAGCCACTTAACCCCGATTGCCTCACCAAAAAAACAAAACAAAACAAAACAAACCAGGAAATCAGAGAGAGATAGAGACAGAGAGGGAAAGAGACAGAAAAACTGAGACAGAGGGGCTAGAATGAAAGAGAAGAGGAGAGAGAAGAGGGCTCAAGATAGAGACCTGGGGACACCATCAATAGTGGGTAGGGTATGGATGATTACGGAGGAGACTGAGAGGTGACCAGAGGAGAACCAGGAGAGAACAGTGTCTCGAAAGCCTAGGAAAAGGTGTCCAGGCAAAGGGGGTGATGAACAATGTCAAATGCAGTGGATAGAATATTAGACCTGAAGTCAGTTAGACCTGAACTCAAATCCTGCCTCAGACACCTACAATCTGTGTGACCCTGATCAAAGTCACATGACTTTTCTCAGCCTCAGTTTCTTTATCTGTAAAAAGGAGATGATAATAATAGGACCTCAGACAGAGGGTTTATTGTGAGGATCAAACAAGATAATATCTATAAAGCACTTTGCAAACCTTCAAGTGCCATACCTACCATTATTATATGCTTCAGAGAAGTTGAGGGTGAGACCTGAGAAAAAAGTCACTTGGTAACCTTGGAGAGAGAAATTTCATCTGAATGATGAGGTTGTAAGCCAGACTGCACAGGGTTGAGAAATGAGTGGGAGGTGACAAAGAGGAGGCAGCTTTTTCTAGGAGTCTGGCTGCGAAAGGCAGGATAGCTTGAGGGGATGGCAGGTCAAGTGAAAAGTTGTTTTTTTTTTAAGGATGGGTGTGATCTGGGCACGTTTGTAAACAGTCGGGAAGGAGTCAATGGATAAGGAAAGACTGAAAAATAGACATAAGGGCTGAACAAGAGGGTCTCTGAGTTCCCTTCCGACTCTAAATCTATGAATGTAGGATGCCAGGACTGAAGGGGCAAGTAGGGTCATACAGGGTCATAGAGGATATGGAAGGGGACAGGATCAAGGGACCCAAAACAGGACTTGGTGTTTGCAAAGAGTCATCTTCAGAGGAATAAGGCGTGGATCACCAAAGGAAAAAAATGTAAATGTAAAATGTAAAGAAAATGTAAATGTAAAAAATGTAAAGAAAAAATGAGAAGAGGAATGAGAAAAAATGAGAAAAAAGAAAAGATAGGATTTTGGAAAAAGCCTATGGTAAGAAGGTTGGAAGAAGGTTGCACACACATACACATATGCAAAGTCAATGCATTTTACGTCATGTAAGTCATCACATTTCTATGCACAGAGAGACACAAACAGGTAACACTCACATTCACTGAAAGGCCAATTATTTGAGCAAGTTACAGAGAAGATGGTTAATATGATGCTAGCTGGGTAAGCTCTGTCAAATTTCTTCAACTCCAAGCACCCCAATTTTCTCCTCTGTAAAATTAGGGGGTTGACTAGCTCCATCATACGCCCTTCCCACTTCCCCAGGGAAGGCTAGCTCAGAACGGCTAGGATACATACAGAGGACCAGCTCCCCCTAGGGTCCTCAGGGAAGTAGCACAGACCTGGCTCCCATATATCCTCTACACTCCATCTCCTGTCTGCTGGGGTGGCAGGGAGAATTGCCCAAGGTCAGACAAGTAGTGAGTGTCAGGGCCAAGACTTAAATCCAAACTTGTGATTCTACAACACTATACAGGGCATTGTTTTCAGCAGGGGACGGCTGCCCTCCTACCCAGGAGCAAAGTGGCTTCCGTAGATGCCCTGGGGACCCTTCTAGCTTTACTGGACCCTGCATGGACAGTAACTTCCTGAGCAGTGAGTTGGGGAGGAAAATGAAATTCTCCAGTTTGGGGAGTTTGGTTAAACAAGCTTCATGCTCTGAAGTGGCTTTACTGGAAACCCACAATCAAGAGGCCCTTTCTCTTTTTTCCATTGAGGGATCAAGGCCTCCCGTGTGTGAAGAATTCTAAGTATTCTGATCTTCTCTAATCATCTGGTCACTGAAAAGACTAAATAAGAGCCTAAAGAGAGACTGGTCTCATCTCCCACTCCCTTCAGAGGCAGAGAACAAGAAAAGCGATCCTCATTTAATAAGTGTAAAAAACTAGGGTGTTGATCTACTTATCCTCTTTGATCACTATCAGTGCAATAAATGTATTTATTGACCACCTACTATGTGCCCAGACCTGTGCTAGGTCCAGTGGGGAATATGGTGCAAGAAAAAAGTGTGGCCCCTGTCCTCAAGGGGCTTACAGTCTTTTGGAGTAGAGGAGACACACAAAAGAATTAGAAGGCAATAAACATCACCCAAGAAGGCCTGGGTTCGAGTCTCACCTCTGACACATATTGGCTGTGTAATCACTTAACCTCTCAGTCATTTAGTCAATTTGCAAAGACTATGAGTTATAAAAAAGTTGCTGACCTAACTAATTGAATTGGGTTTCTTAATTGGGAATAATTTATACCAATGGATTCAGAGGTCTAATGCAAAAGACCCTGCAAAATCCATCACTTAAAGGCAGAAGTCTTTCATCCAAATCTAGGCTCTGACACTTGCTAGCTGTGTGACCCGGAGAAATTGCTTCGCCTCTTGGAATCTCAGGATGCTTATTTTTTTAAATCCTATTTAAAAATATACATTTATAAAAGGCACTAGAAAGGAAGCTTGACCTAATAGAGGCTTAGGGTCAGGAAGAACTCAATTCAAATCCTGACTCTGTATCACTTAGCACAGTACTTAACAAATTGTGTTTGTTGACTGAACGACTGACTGCAATATACTAGCTGAGTGACCATGAGAGAGCTAATGTCTTAGGTTAGTCCCAGGCAAGTCTCTAAGACTGCAAATCATAAGGGAGTTTCTTAACCTAGGAGTTCCCTATAGCAATAAAATCTTAAGTTGAGTCCTTATTCTTAACAAATCATAAAGAGAAGTGATTAGTTCAGAAAAGGGTGGGGGAGATCAGTGGAATTGGAAGAGGGGGCAGAGAGCTCCATGGAGGAAATGGAACTTAACTGAGCCTCAAATAATGTGTAGGATTTGGCTCTACAGAGAAGGGGTAGAGCATTAAAGGTGGCAAGGAAGGACGTGGGCAAAGGTTCAGAGGTAGGAATTAAGCTGGTGAGGCAGGGGTGGTCAGAATTATATCTGTTTTTATAGAGGAAAAAATCAAGTCCCAGAGAGGAAAATTTATTAGACCAAAGCCATCCAGCTAGTAAGTGACTGAACTGGGAATAGAACTCAGGTCTTCTTGCTCTCCTACCCGGTGCTTCCCCTTACCCACTCTGCCCCCATCCCTAGAAAATAAGATTTTTGTTGTTTTTTGTTGTTCAGTCGTTTTGAGTCATATCTGACTCTTCCCTTTTTTCTTAGCAAAGATACTGGAGTAGTTTGACATTTCCTTCCCCAGCTCATTTTACAGAGGAAGAAACTGAGGCAAATAGGGTTAAGTGACTTGCCCAGGGTCATCTAGCTGCCTCTCAAAAAATAAGATAGAGAAACATATACAGACCTTTTGAGGCCTGGGATGCAAGGCTAAGGGGACGTATGAAATCACGATACGGGCTTTTACAGCCCCAGGCTGCAGTTCCCCAGATTCAGGCCTTACCTAAAGGATATGTGATCCTTTGCTCTTTTGAAACATAAAGCAAATATCAGGTTTTGGAAGCAGGAAACAGACTCACCTCGTAGATGTTGAATTGACTCTGCCCACGAGCCAGCTCCCGGTAGCTAGTGGTGAATTCCCCGATGAAGTCATGACTGCAAGGGAAAGCAAAGCAGACTGAGCCCCAGTCTCCACTCTCCTCCCTCTGCCCCTTCCTTCCCTCTCCTGACTCCAAAATATCTCCCTTTATTAAAAGATATCCAAAATTCCATCATTAGAGATTCATTCCTTTGGATTAGATATTGCCCTTCCTCGCTCACTCCTCCCTTCTTTTGTTCTTGGCTTCAGAGTTTTGCCCTTGCTCTAAGGCTTTTCAATCTAAGGCTCAGAGTGAATGTGGATAGCAATTGTTTCTGTTTTGACCAGAAACCCTGAGGGTTTTCCTCTTCCAGACTGTTTGCTTTTTTTTTTAACTAGGTAAAAAAAGCCATTCTATGCCTCATTTCTTACCTAGCCTTAATCACCGAATGGGTGTTGCCTCAGTCAAACTGAGGCCTGTTAAAGATCTAAACTTAAAAAGGTGGAGGTTTCCCACTGCATCCTGGGCCGTCTCCAGTTGGCCTGATCCATATCTGGCCACTGAGCCCGGGTGGCTCTGGAGGAGAGAGTGAGGCTGGTGACTTTGCACAGCCTTCCTTCACTTAAATCCATTTCACTTGCATGTCATGGCATCACCTCCCTGATGTCATGGTCCTCTTTGAGAATGAAGGACAAACAACAACATCAATGGCTTTTTTGGAGAAGGCCAGAAACCCTAAGGAAGGCAGCTCTGGAATAGAATGCGTATTCCATATGTGAATTAAGCGAAGGTGTGATAGGATAGAAGGAACATAGCTCTGATGTCAGAAAAACAGGATTCCAATCCCATCTCTTATGCTTACTACCTGGTGACCTTGGGCAAGCTAGCTAATCTTTCTAAGCCTCGGTTTCCTCATCTGTAAAATGGGGAGGTGGAACTACATGACTTTCAGCTCTTAAGCTATGCTCTCATGAAGCTCTTTGGCCCTGAATGCCCAAAGAAGGAGTGAGAATCAAGGTGGGTCACTGACTTCACAGTTTTACCCTGAGCTCACCCCTTCATTTTAGTCCCTGGTATCCCCATAGACCTACTAACACCCTTACAAGAGGAGAATGATTCTTTTTAATGAGCAGAGCTGCCAAGCACAGCCTTCATTACAACTTGGAGAAATTTGACCTCTGACTCCTGGTCCTGAATCCTACTGGCTTCATGAAAAAGAGAACCTCTAATGGTAACTGCCACCATATCAATTCCTGCAATGACCTAAAGTAGCCAAAGCCCAGAGCTCCTGACTAGTCAGTCAACTGGCATTTATTAAGCACCTACTATGTGCCAGGCTGCTACGTGCTAAGTGCTAAGGATACAAAGAACAGCAAGAACAAAACAAAACAAAAACAAAAAACAATCCCTGCTTTGGAGCTCATAGTCTGGGGAGACAATATGCAAACAACTATGTATAAACAAGCTATTGTTTGTTGTTGTTGGTCAGTCCTTTCCAACTCTTCCCAACCCCACTTGGGGTTTTCTTGACAAAGATACTGGAGTGGTTTGCCATTTCTTTCTCTAGCTCATTTAACAGATGAGGAAACTGAGGCAAACAGGGTTAAGTGACTTGCCCAGGGTCACACAGCTAGGAAGTGTCTGAGGCCAGATTTGAACTCAGGTCTTCCTGACTCTAGGCCCAGTGCTCTATCCACTGCACCACCTAGCTGTCCCCAAACAAGTTAGAGAGAGGATAAGTTGGGGGTGATCAACAGAATTAAAGGAGATTGGGAAAGGTTTCTTGTTGAAGGTAGGACTTTAGCTGAGAGTTGAAGGAAGCCAGGAAGCCTGGAGGAGGAGGTGAGGAGGGAGAGAATTCCAAGGTGGGAAGGTCAGTGAGTACATCTGAGAGGCAGAAGATGAACATCTTGTGCAAGGCACATCCATGAGGCCAGTGTACACTGCAGAGTACCTGGAGGGTAGTAAGGTGTAAGGGAGGAGGGGACCAGGTTAGGAAGGGCTTTGAATGCCAAACTGAGGATTTTCTATTTGATCCTGGAGGTAATAGGGAGCCCCTGGAATTTACTGAATAAGGCAATGATACTGTCAGAAAGATCACTTTGGCAGCTGAGTGGAAGATGGACTGGTTTGGAAAGAGACTTCAGGCAGGGAGGCCAGTCACCAGGTTATTGCAATAGTTGAGGCATGAGTTGATGAGGACCTGCACTAGAGTGATGGCAGTGCAAGATGGGACATACAGAAAATGTGTTATGGAGATGGAAAGGGGAGGACTTGACCACTGATTAGATATGGAAGGGGGAGAGAGAGTGAGGATTCTAGGATGACACCTAGGTCTCAAGCCTGGGTGGCTGGGAGGATGATGACGGAGTAGAAAATAAAATAAACCACACCAAGTAGGGTTCTATGTGACTTTCATAGGGTCATGTAGGAAACTATTCTGTCTTCCATTCTCTAACTCCTATTACCCATTCTCCATCCCCATGCCCCATTATCTATCCCTCTTTTTTTATTATTTTTATTTTTATTTTTTTTAGTGAGGCAATCAGGGTTAAGTGACTTGACCGACTTCAGGGCTGGTGCTCTATCCACTGCGCCACCTAGCTGCCCCATCTAGGGGCAGCTCTTTTACAGATCATATTCCCATCACCCATTTCCTTCCTCCCATCTGCAGTTCCCCATTATCCATCCCTCTTTTACTAGTCTCATTCCCCATCCCTTGTTTCCTATTCCCCATTTCAATCCCTTCCTTGTCCTTTCCTTATCCTTCATTTCCCCCATTCTGCATTATCCATCCCTCTCTGACACCCTCATTCCCTGCCCTCCTCACCCATTTCATTCTCCGCATCCTTACTGTCCTATTATCTTTCCCCATCCTCTACTCTCCATTTCCCACACATATATTCAAGTCCTATTTCCATCATACATTTCCTATTTCTCATCCTTAGCTCCCCATTATATATCCTTCTTTTACCATTTCCATTCTCCACTACCCCTATCTTATTCTTCATACTGTCCTCCTTATCCTTTCCCCATCCTTCATCCCCCATCCTCCATGACCCATCCCTCTTTCACATTCCCCATTCCTCATTTCCCATCCTCCATTCTCATCCCCATTATCTATTCTTTCTTCATATTCCCCATTTCCATAACCCATTTCCATCCTGTCCTCCATATCCTTTTCCCATTCCCCATCCCCCATGATCCATCACTCTTTCACAGTCCCCATTCTCATCCATTTCCAATCCCCCAACCTCAGTCCCCCATTATCCAGTTCCCACCCTCCATTTCTCATTCCCTATCACTCTCCCTGCATTTACCATTCCCAATCACCCATCCATTTCCCATTCCTCACCCTCCACCTCCCATTCACCATCTTCTATCCCCCACTTTTGATCCTCCATCTCCTGTCCCCAACTTTCCTCTCCTCTCATCCTCCACACCACAACCACCCCCAAGATTACACACACATATATTCAAAAACAGAGCAGCCAGTAGCATTTACCTTGATCTTACTCTTGAAAATATGCTTTTAATAGGCTTTGCAAAAAGAGTATCACTGTCACTCACACCCCCTCCAATCCATTCTTTTTACCTCTGCCAGAATAACCTTCCAAAAAAACCCCCAAACCAAAAACCAGCCCTCCAGCTTCTCCTTCCTACTTGGGGAATAAAGTACAGACCCCTCGGCATAGTGCTCGAGGGCCTCCAAGCTCTTTCCTCCACTATCTATTTGCAGCCTCATATCATGTTACTTCCCTCCACATAATCCATGCTCCTGCCAAATAAATCACTTTACATCTCTGAAAAACCGTGAAGTATCTGGAAAAGCACTGAATTTGGAGTCCAAAAGGCCTGCAGCCAAACCCCAGATCTGCCGCTTATAAAGCGTGTGATCTCGGACAAGTCACCTCCCCTCCATGGGCCTCAGTTTCATCACCTGTAAAATGCAGGGTTTGTTCGAGAGGAACTTCCAGGTCATTTCCGTGGGCTCTTTGTGGTGCTCCTTGCATACATGCCATGCTCTTCCCCACATGTATGCCTTTGTCTCCATTGATACCTAGAATGCCTGCTGAATTTCTAACCATCCTCTGAAGCCCAGTTTATACATCTTCCTTTCCAAGAAGCCTTCCCTGACCCCCCAAGTCAGTAAAGACTTTAAAAAACACTTTGCTAATACCTCCTAATGCACTTAGGATGGGGATAGGGGAGCAGACCTCTGGTTTCACTCTTATAGGTAATTCCCAGAAAAAGGAACTCCCTCTAGCACCTTCTCTGGGACTTAGAGGCTTAAACAGTTGCCTAAAGCACTGAAAGGTTAATTAATTTGCCCACAATCACACAGTAGGGCTGTGTCAGAGGAGAGACTTGAAACCAGGTCTCCCTGGCTCTGGGGCCAACTCAGTCTCTTCTGATGCACTCAACATATAATATTTTAGAAGCATTTGTGCAGATGTCCTATCCCCCTAGGGCACAGTATGGTCCAGAGAGCAGGCCCTGGGCTAGCTAGAGTTACATAGCTATGGTTCCCATATATTATGTAAGTGTGTGTGCATGAATGTGTGTGTGTGTGTGTGTGTGTGTCTGTGTGACAGAGATAAACAGAGAGACAGAAAGACAGAAAGACAAAGTGAGACAGAGAGAGGGAGAGACACAGAGAGAGAGAGAAGGAGAGAGGAAATGAGGGAGAAAGGGAGGGAGAGAAAGGAGAGAGAAGGAGGAGGAGGAGGAGAAAGAGAAGAAGAAGAGAGAAAGGGAGAGAGAGAAAGAGGACTGACAGAAGGAGAGAAAGAGGGAAAGAGAGAGAGCAAGAGGAAAGGGAGAGTAAAGGGGAGAGAAAAGGAGAGAGAGAAGGAAAGAAAGAGGAGAGGGAGAAAGAAAGAAAAAGGGAAGGAGAGAAAGAGGAGAGACAGAAAAAGATGGAGAAAGAGGGAGAGACAGAGACAGAGAGAGACAGAGAAAGGGGAAAGAGAAAGGGAATAGGAGAGAAGAGGAGGAGGGAGAGGAGAAGAGAGAGGGAGGGAGGGAGAGTGCCAGAGTCAGAGCCAGTTCCCTGGGGTTCAGCACAGCAAAGCT